TTCCAATGCCCTTTTTTCTTGCAGTAGTGACACCAACTTCCCGATTTTCTGTAATTGAAGTGAAAACTTCTTTAGCGGCGTTGAGCACTTTTGTGGGATGGGTAAAAACTGTGAAACTCGCGTCAGGACACGTATGCTGATCGAAAATTCGTAAGACGGTTGGAGAGTAGTGTTGTAACATCGAAATCGATTAATCGAACAATCGATTGTTTTCTTTCGATTGTCGATATTTTTTAAATCGGAATAAATTGAAATAAACTGGAATAAATTGGAATAATAATAGGCATACGTTCAAAATTATTCCCTAACTATTCCAAAAAAACAAAAATGCACAACGTTAATATTCAAGTTTTCACTTCTGTCGGCACTCCCGGAGTGCAACCCGTTTTTTTTTATTTTCTTCATTTCTGGAACTACTATCGTTTTTCATTTTATTTTCTTTATTATATCCTTTCCAATTATTTTGTTTTGCTGCCAATGCCACATCTACATTTTCTTGAGAGCTACTTCGAGTTTTTATTCTTTCTTCCTCGATTAATAAACGTGTAGTCAAGCAATTTAGCGTTTTTTCATTTGCACTATCCCAAGCAGAATAAAAATATTTGAATTCTTCAGGTAATGTCATTAATATTTTGTTTATTAACATATTTTCTGTGATTTCCTCGCCACAGGATCTTAGCTCGTGACTTAAGTTTTCTAATTTAGCTATATGCTGAGCTACCCCATTACCTTCATATATATACGCAAAGAATTGCTGTTGAAGCATATGAAGATTTGCTTGAGTTGTTCTTCCAAATAAGGCTTGGATTCTTATCCACATTTCATTTGAAGAACGACAAGCTACCAAATGGGTAATAATTTTTTCATGGACTGATAAGATAATAGCCTTTTGAGCTTTGAGGTCATCCTTCTCCCAAGTCTTCTTGTTAACTTCCGTTTCGCCTCTTGGCCTGGTATTTTCGACGATATCGTAGATACCTTCAGACTTCAACAGAATTGTTAATTGGAACTTCCACGATTGATAATTAGATCCACTTCCTTCCAGTTTGATCTTATTTCCACAATCCCAACTCAAACTGTTACTTAAATTAGCCATATCTGGGCCCATAACCTGTAGTGTGAATCTAATATTTGGATATCAATTGCCTCTTTTGGTATTAGAAATAGAATACAAAATTACTTTTTAGAAAATTATATTTCAACTTCAGATTGACAACTTACAACCTTGATCAAATTAACATTAAAATAAAAAATAATATACTGAATGTTAAAATGTCATTGACTTTTTTCAACAGAAAGTATCCTAAAAAGTATCCGGGTACATTGTAAGTATCCGTATCCGGTACTCGGATACTTTTTTCCTGTATCCGATCCAACTCTGCACCACTGACAGGTGACGAATGTTGAATTAGTGAGCCAGAAGCGTCCCTTTTTTCTACTAATTTCAAAAAAATGTTAAATACATAAAATGATGAAGAGAATAATATAGAAAATATTGTGTACTAGGGACCCGACAGCCGTTGTCCTGTCTTAACTATGAATATTGATTTCGAATTGGTATAATTAACTAAAAAAATATTTCAGAAACAATGTATTTATTATTCTAATGCAAACACAACAAAAAAAGAATTAGCGAAATCGGTCCAGCCGTTCACGCGTGATGCCGTGACCAAGGGAAATAGGGATTCATTTTTATATATGAAATTTTCTAATTTTCCGCGCAATTTTCTTAATTTTTTCTTTCATAAGAAACTTCTCCTGACAATAACAAACACAACAAAAAAAGAATTAGCGAAATTGGTCCAGCCGTGACCAAGGTACATAGGAATTCATCTTTATACAGTGTGGAAACCACTTATGGAATAAAATTCTTTATGTCATTATTTTAGAAAATTGTAAAAAATGCCGAGACACGTCAACTTTTGAATTGAGTTGTGCATTATGTATAGAGAAAGTAAAAGTTAAAAAGTCTTTTGGTAGGTAGAGAGGGGGTAAACGTCAAACCACGTCGGGCGGCTCCGAGAATTTCACAGTAATGTTTACCTGCCAGTGTCGTTTCATAGAATAAGTAATTTTAAATTGTTATCGGCGGAACCGGACAATCGCATGTATTTATGGATTATAAATAATTATTAAACATGTATTATAATATTCAAATTATAATTTTACAAAATTTCAACAGCTATTCACAATTTATTAAAGTATTTACTCGAAATTGTTATTAACATCTATAAAATAATTTTGTACGCCAATGTATCGTGTCCACTTCGGTGAGATCCGCTGACAACCTGTCAAGTTATGTGTATAAAGTGGGAGAACTGGCAAAAGCATTTCCAACTTTTACTTCTCATATAAACATAAATTTAAATGTACAGGGTGATTCACGCAAGTATGCCATAGTCGGTGTTGTTTTTTTTTTAATGAAACACCCTGTATATTTGCATATTTTTGAAATCCTCTTAATGAACTGATTCCAACAAACTGAATAATGTATGTATGTATGCATGCAAATATACAGGGTGTTTCATTAAAAAAAAAACAACACCGACTATGGCATACTTGCGTGAATCACCCTGTACATTTAAATTTATGTTTACATAACGCACAACTCAATTCAAAAGTTGACATGTCTCGGCATTTTTTATAATTTTCTAAAATAATGACATAAAGAATTTTATTCCATAAGTGGTTTCCACACTGTATATAGAAATTTTCTAATTTTCCGAGCAATTTTCTCGGTCCAGCCGTTCACGCGTTATGCGCTTACCAACACATTTTGCGATTCATTTTTATATTATAGATTATCGAACACACGATGAAAGTATAATTTAGACAAATTCGATCTGAATTAAGAAAGACGAAAACGAAAACCGCGTACAATAGCACGAGTGTATGATATTTCCATAAGATCATAGCCGGGATTATTACTTCTGATGAGTTATTAGCTATGATTGAATTTAGAGTTCCCACAAGAACTACAAGAAATAATAGTTTATTTGCCATTCAACTTCACCTTACCAATTATGCTTATCATGCACCTCTACCTAGACTAATGCGACTGGCTAATCAATACAATTTAGACATCACTGGGTGTTCTATTAGTCAATTTGTGAATGATGTAAAGAGAATTTGTTTTTAATATCTTTAGTTTAGTTTATTACATTTCATATATGAAATTTTAGATTTATTGTGCCTACCTTTTTTTTTTTTTTTTTTATGTACTTAAGCTATTTTATTTTATGTAATTTATTGATACTAATGGATTATTCCGTAATATATATATTTATTTATTTATATTTATTTATTTGCCGCGTTTGAGAATCCACATCGGATGCATTTTTTACATCTCGAGCGTTTGTTTATCCACATCGGACACATCTGTCCCATTACATTTACCTATACTGAATCACGTGATCAAAGATTTTTTACATCTCAGATGCATCCGATGTGGATTCTCAAACGCGGATAACGTCAAACAGTAATAGAACGACAATGTACGAACAATGATTGTACACAGTCGGAATGAGACTTAAAAGAGGATTAGGCTGTCAGGACATAAATATGTCGTTTTTTATAATTTCATGCCAGGGCGAGCTATGAGATGTTTAATTTATATATTTTTATTTATTTTTTTACTTTTTATTTATTTTTATTTTAATTTAAATGTATTTTAATTTATTTTTATTCATTTTTTTACTTCTTTTTATTTAATTTTGTTTATTTTATTTATATATTTACTTTTATTTACTTATTTTTTTATCTTTATTTATTTTAATTATTTTTAATCATTTTTAGTTTTATTTTTTTAATTTGTTTTTACTAATTTTTATTTATTTAATGGAACTTCAAGTGGGGACTAAACTGTCGCAATGTCGTTTTTATTAGTTCGTTACTCATATTTTTCATGTCAGGTAAGCCATAATAATTTCAATTCAAAATTTATTTTACCATATAAAGTCGTATAATAGATTGAAAATTTGTAAATTTAAATTGTCATAACTTACAAAAACAAATAAAAAAAATTATTTTTCTAAAAAGAATTTTCTAAGTAAATATTAAAAAGAAAATAAAATATCATTGAATTTTCAGCTCACTTCTAAACACCCTAACTCTGTTAGTTTTAATAATTGCAAAAAAATGCTAAATATTATTTTTATGTAAAACTTTATGCTTTACAATTTTTATTAAGAACTTTTTTTATAGCACCTACCGTTTTTAAATAACCTTAAAGAAACATTTTATTTTCTTGTTTTTCGCCATTTGCCGGGGCCTGAAAAACAAAATTTTTTAACCTATCTTTTTCAAATACTCTAAAGTGGCTTATATCAAAAATTCCTGCATTTCCTCCAAAATTTTGATTCAAAGGTCTATTTGATTGGACTATAAAGAACAATAAAATTTTAGATTTTTTAAAAAACGATAGTAGGACCCAGTAGAATATCTGTCAACTAATTTTTTCATTCCGTCACGTCACTGCGTCCAATGAACCACTCCATTGCATTCATCGTGTCCATGACCGACCAATGAACTGGAGTCTAGTTATTGAGAGGGAGGGTTTAGGGCTCTGGACCCCTCACTTGGCCTAAGCAACAACGCGAATATTAGACAAATACCGACCTTTTAAAATGCCGCGAAACCCGCAAACGCAAATTAAAACACGAAAAAGAATTGTTTTGGGAGAGCTTAAACTGTGCATTAATTCTAACTCAACATTTTCCTGGGGCTGACAGTTATGTGTCAAAAGTTATAAATACGTCCCTGGACAGTCATGTCTCTGACAACCACGAACGAGCAAGGGCGGCTCCATGGAGGAGGGCCATGCAACCCCGATATTAAAAACTTCTTAGAATCCATGAGCCTTTTAAAAAAAAATATGGTAAAAAAGGGAAAGGCATAAAACAAATAAACCTGAACATTTATATAGTTATTCAAATTCAACACAGATGAATATCTTAAAGGTACCTTTAATTTTAATTTAAGATTACATTACGTATATGAGCACTCTGGTATCTAACTATAGGGGGTGACAATACAAAAATATAAAAGTGGCGGCTGGTCCATATAAGTGCTGTAGAGCTGAGCTACAGAACTGCCAAAAATGCATCTAATTTCACAGAAATTATTTATGCTGGTTGTTCAAAAAAAAGTTTTTTTATATTTAAAAATTTATATTTTTTGTTACAAACTTAATCCTAATTATATCGAAATCTAAACTGAGACAGGTAATAACTTAGACAAAACATTAAATTTGTAAATATTTTAACTCGCCGTAGTCTCAATATCTGAAGCTTGTTGTTCAGGTTCCTCATCATTATAAATATTCTCAGCCATCTGCCAAACTTGCATGATATTATCTTCAGAAACGGAGCAAATAACCCAGGGTTCGTTGGGATTCCAACTGAAATCAGAAATTTTAGCTGTGTGGCCTCCATGAATAAACAGCAATTCTGGTGGGCCGTCTTCGGCATCTTCAGGGCTTTGCTCTTCACCAATTTTGCTCAAGTCCCATACATGAAGTCTTCTATCAGTTCCGGAGGAGGCCAAGATTGTCTCATTATGGGGCGACCATTGTACTTGGAATATTTCATCTTTGTGCGACTCGAAACTGTGAAGCTTCAATTTTAAGTTTCGTAAATCCCATAAAGCTACAGTCTTATCAGCACTACCAGTTGCCAGGATAAACTCAGAATAGGGATTGAAGCTTAGACAATTGACTTCTGCTGTGTGAGCGTCAACTGTGTGGGAAGGTTTGCTGGTGTTGTTGCATCTGGTATCCCAAATCATTAATTTCTGATCATCTGCTACTGATCCAAAGAGACTTTCATGTAATAAATGCCAAGCTACATCTTCTACAACAGCTGTATGTCCAGTAAATACAGTTTTCGCATCGATAATTCTGTTTTCTTTGGGCGTGGCGTTTATATCCCAGAGACAGATTGTGTGATCATCACTAGCAGATAGAAGGTAGCCATTTAAGTTTGGATTCCAAGAGAGACCATATCCTTCTTTTTGATGGCCTCTAAGTCTGAGATCTGGGTGACATTCTCCACTTGGATCAGGTTTGCTGGGATGTTTGGTGTAGTCGAAAACTAGAACATCGCTGGATGGCGTTTTTGTGGCTATGACACATGGATTTTGAGGCATGTAACGGGCCCTATTTACTTCACCTTCATGGTTTATTTTTATTTCAATTTCGATTTTACCTGGAATATAAAAACATATTGCTAACTGCGGTTGGTAAAACTAAATTTTTATTACTAAAGTTTAATGAGTATTTAAAAATAAGTATGTGGTGGGCAATATTTCAGTATTTTGCATATTAACAGTAACGGACTTTTTTTTAAATGCACAATATACCTTCTAGCATCTAGTAGAATTTTAGTTAAAAAATAATATTAGACAGCAGAACAAACTCTTCAACTAGCAGTTATTTTATCAAAGGTATCATGAGTTCTGCAAATTTTATCAATACAATTTTTAACTTCCACGAAAACATCTTTATTTGGAAAAAATACGAAAACAAAACGAATGATAAAATCACGAGTCCGTATGATGAGTGATTTTATCTTAAATCGGTTTTGCCTAAAATAAAAGCGTTTGGAAACTCAAAATTAAATAGATACAATTTAAAAGGATGAGAGGTATTTAAAAAGATTATGTTTGAAAAATACACAATAAACATATTTGGAAGTGTTTATTAAACATATAATTATTTGTTTATATTACAGTAATATAATTTCCTTTATAGTCTGAAAACATAATAAATACGGCAATAACATATTACCTATAGTAACAGATAGTATGGCCAAACACCTGCAAAACCGCAGCGACATAAAGTAGATTACTTTCCTCTCGAGAGTTTGACATTTGCCAAATTTAAAAGTTTTATTGTGATTTCCGTGTCTCAAACTATAAAATGGAATACGATCTGTTTAATTTAGCTAATAATTTCGAACTGTTTAGGTATTCAAAAATTACGTTTCATTGTTAAAAATTGAGTGTTTTAGTGAGTTTTATGTGTGTTAAAAGTGATTTATATTCGCTCCGTGCGTGACGGCAGCGCCAACCAAAATATGAACTAAAGGGCGATTTTGTGTCTATTGATATTTTAAGAGAATTCGTAATTAAAAAATATATTTTTTGGTTTTAATTAAAGTATATGGATTTATAAAACAAATGAAGAGGTTCATTTATTTTTATCAATTTAGCTAAAAAAAGTAAGTATATTTCAGTGGCGTGCGGTGACATTTTTGGAAGGGGAAGCGATTGTATAAAAATACAGCAGGCCAGTAAGCACAGCGCCGCAGACGAATATTTTTCGCGGCGCATTCACCTTTTTGTCAAATTCTTGCTTTTTTTCCTCAGGACTACGGATATTCGAGATTGAGATTTTTGAAGTGTTACTATTACTTTATTACCTAGTTTAGTATTAGAAGCTATAAAAAACTTCCTTGGTTTATTTAAACGTAAAAAAAAAAAAACATTTAACTGAAGTTGTTTTTTATTTTTTTTAGCATTTTTCGCACATTTGACACATCAGTTGACATTTATTTATACTTAAGATCTTTTCGCCTATCCTCAATGGCTGCAAATTTGTCTATAACATCGTCGTAAAATTTTGGATTTTCTGATAACTGTTTAACAAGCTGTTTTTCAATGGATATTAAGGTTAAATTAGAGAGTCTGTCTTCACTTGTTGAATTTCGTATAAAACTTTTAATGCGCTAAAAAAACTTCGCTCAACTGACGCACTTGTGGCTGGGATGGTTACTAATTCACGAAACTTGACGACTTCACAAAGGGACTTATTTCATAAACAACACTTAACTGGGACTTTAATGCTGGAATATCGAAAAAATTTCGATAATTTAATTTTAGTGAATTAAAAGATTCCGATGGAAATTTTGATGAATCGTAGTTACTAATATTAAAATTGCACAATTCAACAAATTTCAATTCGTTAAAGTTTTGAAATCGAGAGTTCATTTATTGTAAAATATTATCAAAAATTTCGGCGTATAATCGACGATAGAAGGTCTCTCTGTCGCCAACATTATCAATTCTAATTCTCTTTCTTTCAGGTTCCAAGCCAATGTTTTAAGTCTTTCAAACTGATCTCATTTTGTATTCATTTTATTTTTAAAATCATCAATTTGTTTAATGCAAAAGTCAATGTCATTTGACTTTGTAAAATGTCGAATAAAATGTCAGTAAAAGGAAAAATCTCTGCAAAAATGTTGAGCAAAAAATTGAAATCAAAGTTTTGTTTGAGCCAATGCAAATATCCTTTAGCAGCAGTAACAGTTTCAGCATCCCATGTTTTCTTTATTATCCCAAACGTCTTGAAAAAAGTGTATCAAAGAATCACGGTATTAAAACACTGTTTGCACTAAACGTCCATTGTAGTTCCATCGCGTCGGAGCAACTTTTGGCAACCTTTTTTGAACGTGAATGTCCAAATCGCGAGTTCTTTTTGATGACTTTGAAAAGAAGGTAGCCAAACCACTAAGCGTCGAAAAGAAAACTTTGCAATCTTTAATATTATCCATGCTTCGCGATAAAACCAACTTAAGTCTATGTGCTATACAGTGAACGAAAATTGCATGTTTAAACTTCTCTTTTACTTTAGCTTGAAGGCCTCCTAAATGGCCAGCCATTACGGCAGCACCATCATAGCTCTGGGCAACAAGCTTAGAAACATTCTAAACTTGAAATAATGGCACAAACAATTTTAAACAATGCATTTGCAGTTCGTTCGCTAGTGACGTCCAAAAATACTACGAATCGCTCTTGAGGAATGCCATCCAATACATCTCGCACAACAATGGATAATTGTGACCACTAAAACTTAGTTCATGCTCTCCCAGGAAACAAGTTACATCTATTAATCGTTGTAAGACGTCCCTATTTTGTTTACCCTTTCATTGTGAATTTTGTTGCTTATTTTTAAATGATTGTCCAAACTATGTTCAATGCGATAGGTCCCGAATGTTTTTTCTTTAATTGTAGCACTTATATGAGATTTGCTATTTACATGTCGTTTTACACTTTTGTGAAAATTATTCAAGTCTGTATTACCAACTAGAGTTCCAATGTGTTTTTTCGGCTATATTAAAAAGTAGGCAAGGCCAGCAAAACAATTTCTTCAAAGTTTTGCAGCCGGTTAACCATTCATACTTTTCATAGAACCCTACGTGAAAATGCCTAGTAAATTTCTTTGCTGACTTTTCTACTTTCGTCTCTAAATTGATAGGATTCTTTAGTCTACTAGAATTAATAATGTTCGTTTTCTCTTCAAAATTTCATCTTGAAAATCCTTTTTTCAATAAAGAGCACACAACACAGACACAATTTACCACATTATTATTGTTCACAGGCACAGTGCATAGTTCCTCAATTTTACAAAAAGAAAAACAACTACGAAAATCAAACCGAAATATATTTGAAGTCTACGATTTTCCTCGCATGTCGATTCGCGGTGCGAATTGCAATATGCGTAAGGCGACGTAAAAATCGCTGCCTCTCAACCGTATTTCACGTGCCCAAACAGACTGACTATTGTCGCGGCAAAGGAGGGTCAATAACACGAAGCGAAATCAATTGAAAGATGAGCCGGCTTTCTCAAGACGCGCTTCCGCCGACGAACTTGAAGTATATGGTGTGTGCGTTTACACAATTAATTTTCTCATGGGTGGTGCGTGCGTTTACACATTACACCAATGAATGTTTCAGAGAAAATATAGTACCTAATTTAATATTTAATTCTATGCATTGTAAACTGAAAAATATTTATTTTTAAAACTCAAAGTGTGGGGAAGCGGTGCTTCCCCCGCTTCCATGGACCGCACGCCCCTGGTATATTTATTAAAAAATTATTGAAACATGTGCACAGAATACGTAATTAGGCAGCAGAATTTACGAGAAAGTGTATGAAAAGTTGCCTAATGTAGTTAATGGTTTATATCAAACTTGGATTCAAAATTTATTAAAAAGAAAAAATTGTAATATTGGAATATTTTCGAATGTAATTTATATTTTTTTTTTCTTAAATTTTAGTTTGAAAGAAAGGTAGAAATACATTGAGCATCATAAGTCCCCCCCTATCTAACTCGTTACTGGAGTCTTGTTAGGAAAATCGCCGAGACACGTCGATTTTTGAATTCTACAATGTACATTTTTGTATGAATAGTTTACCCTTAATTTCACCCCATGGTGAAGACTTTCGTTTTTTTAAAGGTAGGAACTTGAAAATTGGAATTGTATCTACTCATCATAAGTAAATAATGACATTTCAAGATTTTTGGATTTTAACATTTAAAGGAGTGGGGGGAGTATCGTAAAAATAAATAATGAATACAAATATATAAATAAAAAAAAAAATAATTAAAAAATTATTGAAACTGGCATGGTATTGATGAAAATCCAAAAACATTGATTTCAGTAGTGGCCCAATAAACCAATTTAAGGCACATAGCAACTCATTCTAAAAAATGTCATACATACAAGCTGAAATGTTTTCATGGGCCTTTTCCAGTGGATTATTCATTACGAGTGGAATTTTGTCAATAGTACCAAAATAATATAAACAAAAACACAGATGAAGCTTGGTTTTGCCTTTCTGGGTTATAAACTTTGTTTATCATGAAAATGTCAAGTTATAAATGGTATTCTGTGGAAGTGGAAGTAAAATATCAACCCAAAACATTTAAATTTCATAGCCAACTCCAATTTTGATTTTTATTGATGACTAAACCTAATAAATTTTCAATGATATGTATTGAATTTTGTTCCTTTCTATTTTCAGAAAAAAATAAATATTCTTTATCATCTTAAAAAGAATTAATGACATTGTGAAAGTATAATTATTATAATTTTTAACACACTTATTGCTAGAATTATTAACATATAGTCTGTGGAAAAGACATAGTTAATAAAGGACAAATTTGATATCTTTGAGAGTAGACAGAACAAAAAATTGGAAATCCTAATTTGATTGTTGTAACTTTTTAATGTGTCAATGTCTATGTCTTGCAAGCAATAACCTACAAACAGTTCGTAGACTGAAATGGTAGCCTGCGGCCTCATCAAATTATTAGGGACACCCTACAATTTCATTTTAAAGAAAATACCTTGGTGCCAGACTTTCTCCAGTATACATTACCAAATTAATAATGGATTTTATTTGTTGTACTAGTGTCACACTTGACACTGTATTCGAACTGTCATACTTGTCAAAAGTATATGCTACTCTCAAATATTTGAAGCTACACTGAACAAATCAAATGCGATTAGTGCAGAAAACTTACACCTAGTGCAACAAATAAAATCCACTATAAGTCATGAAAATTAAATCAAATACCCATTTTAACTGTCAAAATGTCACATGGCTTGGAATGCTTAATTGTTTGCAGGTTGTAAAAAAGTAGTCTAAAGTAACTAAATGATTTTTATTGTAATTATTGTTGTAGTATGCTTTTATATGAATATTATTGTCTGTAATTATATTTTTTACGTAATGTTTGAATAAACCACTTTTTACAAATATTAAATAAGGTACTAGCCAAGTAAAAATAGACACATCTAACCAGGTTAGCCACACTACAAATTTTAACACAAAATTACTAGTCAGTAGTGATAGGCATAATTGAATTATTTTAAATCAAATGATGAGTAATCGAGTGATTTCAATAATCGGGTTATCATTTGAATGATCTATCACTCGGATATCAGCAGATCTCAAGATTTTAATGCACATATCCATCTATATCATGAACTTATTTTCAATTTTTTGTTGCTGTCATTTGAAAAAAAAATGAGATTAGGACTGAAAAATCCATTCCATAGGAACATTTTAATAAAATAGAAAACATTGTAAAACCAAGTCTGGTAATACCTACCTACATAATTAAACATTTAAAATGTATCCATTCAACATTTTCAATAGTTGTGTTTAAAACACTCAAATCACTTTAAAGAAGAATCAAATTCATTCAAAGTATTTTATTTGTATTACTACTTATTCTGTTTCTTTGGCACTCGGTACTTGTTAGTGTATGTATTTGAATGAACTGGTCATTCAAAATTCAGTAATCAGGACTTGATAGTTAATGATCTGATCATTCAAAATTCTATTTCACTCAGCACTCAGTAGTGTTTGAATGTGATCATAGGAAATTTCATTTCACTTGGTAGTGTATTTGAATATGTTCATTTGAATGATCCAGTTCTCGACATATCTTAAAACATTTTAATAATTGAATGACCAATTATTTTTCATTCGAATTATCCCATCACTACTAGTCAGCTTAAAGTATATCATTTTAAGAAATATAAATTCTTGATTGACTATACTTTTTAGCATTCAGTAGATTGGTTAGTATAAAAAAAATGTACAGCAGAATTCTTTTAAATTTGAGATTATATAGAATGATATCAGGTGTTCTAATTTATTCATTCATAGCCTTATTTACCATTTAAATAGGTGCTGGGTTCTCTCCTAAAATATTTTGACTTACCAGAAACTGATCCAAATCCTCCAAATTCTCCCTTTTCGTTATCATAATGTGAAGCATCAAATTGGGCATCTTCATTTGGTAATTGAACACTAGCAATTAGTAGATGATTTTGTTCATCAGAAGTGTGAGTCCCAAGAATTAAACGGTGTATAGAATGATCTTTTCCGTCTGGGCGAGTAACGTCTGGTAACCACTGGGCTGTAAGAGAGGGCCATTCCAAAGCATGGGTCATTACCAAGTCGTAGAGAAAAGGTGTATTTTTTTTCCATATTTTATATTCCTCATTGATAACTCTTTCTTCGACTGCGTCATCAAATGTTTCTGCATCACCCTTATCGCCCATTTTCAGGCTATTTAGAATATTTGAACCTTAAACTTATACCAATGTTAAAAAAACTCACAGCTACTGATGTCACTTTTGGTGCGGCTGTCGGTTTAAAAAAATTACAGAGCGGGATAATAAAATTTATAGAGCCGGTATTTGGCGGTATTTAAAAAGTTGGCAAATTTTCTAAACACACGCCAAGAGCGCTTCTTCGTGTTGAATTCGATGGACTTCGAAAATGTTCGGCCTGTGATTCGGCTGTTTCTTGACATTCAAATGTCAAATCATAATTTAGGCCAATAGGATCGTCGAATTTTTAGCGCCAAATGTCAGAACCAATGTCAGCAATAGGGAAATATATTTTTTCAATGTTGGTATATGTTATTGATTTCATTTGTACAGGGTGTATAAAAACTAAAAAGTTATATCAAAAATTTTATGTTTCTGACATTCTGAAACAAATCTAATTCAATTAATATATGTTTTTTTTAGTATTTATTTAAAATATAAAGTATTATTCTGAAACTTTTTTTGTAATAATTTGCACAAATCGGTTGCCAATTAAATAACCTTTTAAACTCGCTTTTAAATATTTTTAGAAACCATTATGTTAGAGGATTAATATATATATTTTTAAAAAATTTATATTGTGGCCTAGGGTATTAAATTTGTCATTTTATAATCAGAATATTATAAAAAATATGTATAAAACTATTTCATGAAAATTTAAATTTGGCGCCTTCTTGGTTTTTAATAGCCTTGACGACAAAGCGACATCTCTCTCAACTCAACCTATCAAATTTTTTTTGTAGATGTTCCCATTGCTATTCATTCTGATTGTTATGTCGGAAATTATCATTCATTGTGATAAGGTTTCATTTGCGTTAAATGGTACATTGTGCAAAGTACTTATGAGTGACAGAGGAATATGTCCAGTTTGAAAATTGGTAAGTAGACGCTTCAAACCGCTCGATATCGCTCTGTTTTGGTCCCACCCCCGACGAAAACTGCCCATGGGTAATCTAATGCTCCCCCTTGCAGAGATTTTGCAAAATTATTAAGATTACCTAGTGAGTCACTGCTAGAGATTATAAACAAATATTAAACGTCAGAAACTGATTGTCAATTGTGTTATTGGCTCCCAGCTTATATTTTTGTTTTATTTTTTAGCATGATAACACAGTTATTTTTGTTTTAAGCATTGGAGCTGAGAAAGTTGTTGTAGCATAGAAGCATGTATGTCAGCTAGCACTAGATAGTTGTGCTTGTTGTCATGTTGGAGACCAGATCTATTCGTGGAATGCCGGAACACTCTTGGAACAACTACGGTACAAGAATTTCTCCTCACCAAATGGCGACACCAATCAGACATGGTAAAATGCTTAGCACATTTAGTATTACTTGTCTTGTAGACATAGAAAAATACCAAAGCTATTACTAGATTAGTTCTTTAGTTTACAATCAAAATTAAGGTATACAGAAACAAACGTTAACCTCGACTACAATATCCATCACTGAGTTTTTTTACAGGCATTATTACTGTATCACATTTCAGAGAATACTATACTTTGCACTTTGCTAATTTAGAACCAACCAGTAGATAGTTTGGCAATGGAATATTTGCTAAAAACTATATATCTTGATCCGATTGATATTAGGAACTTTGAGGCCTGGGTCTTAACCTTCCCATTTTAGTCATTTAATGTACATAGCTCTGTAAAAAGATCCAAATGAATGCATTTTCAATATTTTAAGATTAAGATTTTTCTAGTTTCTGTTAAAACTTATTTTTATGGAATTATTCTATTGCTTTAGTACTACTTTCCTAATTAAATATTTTAAAAAGATAGTTATGCATGTAGGTACTTTCATTTATTTCAAAGTGACAGTGACTTTTCCTACCAGGAGTGCGTTTAGAAACCCCGTACGACGCGTCTGAGCCCTATTCTAATGCATGTGGTCAGACGCGCCGTGCGGGGTTTCTAAACGCACTCCTGGATATGAATCTCTAATTTTTCATAATAAAAAAATATACCTAGTTGTCAAGATTGTAAAGTTTTACAAATCTAAACTTGATAATAATTTAAGGTGGTTTATGCAAAATAAAATTGTAAAATATTGTGTATGTAACATGTTTCTCTACCTAGGGCTAGGATATTAAGGATACACATGTTCTGATTCATGTTTTATTTTCTTTAGTCATTTTATAATTTTATTTTAAGGCTGGTGAAAATATAAGTAATAAAGTACCTAAGTGCCACTATTAGAAATTTTCATATAGTAAAACTTTTCACATAGTTTGTGAATCTAGTAATAATACTACAATACAAGGAACCAAGAATATTTTAATACGTAAAATATTTTTTTCTTTCCCTCAGTAAATTATGGTCCATAATCTGGAAAGAATCTATTCTACATGTTGTTTCACTAATAATATGCTAAATATAATTTAAAAATATTTTAAAGATATTTCCAATTATTTTAACTTTATTGACTATATTTTTTAAGAAAACTTTCACTATTTTTTGATATGGTATCCTTCATATATATTATAAATGCCTTTCTCCGGCTGTCTAAAATATAGATAGTATTATTATTATTGTTTAGAACAGGCAAGCGACATAGTCGATGAAGCTGCTCCTTTAGGGTATGGTCCGTTATTAACCGAAATATTGGTTACTCGGTTCAAAACTAACCGCTCTGCTTGATATTCCTGAAAAGTCAGTTAAATTAGGAATGCGATTACCTGAAAATGGTGACTCAAATGTCAATTCACTAACGCTATATTTTTACGGTTACTATTAAGTCGAATGTCAATCTGTCACAAAAGAGACTAAATCTCAGCCATGGTCTTCGAGCATATATATTTCATAGAGTCCGCATTCAACAGCGTTTGTTTGGGTTATGAGGGGAAATAGACACTATTTTCAGTGTCGTATCATTTTTACGGGGTTTGCAATTAATATAAATAATAAATTTGATATATACCTTTAAAATTCTTTAAATTTGCACATATTTTATAAACTTGCATTATTTAAGTAGGTATCTAGTAATAGTAAATTATTGTTATTTATTATTATTACTATTATTTGTGTTGGGCACATCAGATTTTTTTTAATTCAAACATCAGAAAGTGTATAACGAAAAAATGATGGTTCAAATAATAGGCAATAAAAAAGATAAAGAGCTTATATTTAAAAATCAAAAATATAATTAAATAGCAGGTATATTATAAAAATATTTATGATATCTATTAACACACATGTACGAGAATTTCAATAAAATAATTTTTTCCAATATTTTATTATATATAAAAATATTGTTCATAAACAATGTTCAATAAATTACTAAACGATATACTACAAATAGAAATCAAGCTAATACTTAGGTACATTTGCACTGCCATTAACAAATAAGTGAAGCTTAATTTTTATTGAAAAACTGTCTTAAGCTTCGAATATTTCTTAATGACTAGGAGTTCAAATAAAAGAAGCTTAAAATAACTTTTTTATTGAAAAACTCACATTAGGCTTTGCTTATTTCTTAACAACTAGCAGTCTACTTAATTAAAGAACATAGGTATATTTAATAAAAAATAATTATTGTCAATTTTTGTAGTTTATAAAAAATATTTTTCCTATTTTTCCCCCTGTACCAAAACAAAGTCCATTTGGACGATGGCTCTAGTAATATATGCTCGAAGGCCGTGGTCCAAAAGTAACCAAGAAATTAGTTTTTTTTTTCAGGAACCGCTTTTAAAAAATCCTGGTTACTAGCGGTTAGTAGTCGGTTAATAACGGAGCATACCCTTAGTTAGTGATAAAAATTATTCTAAATCATTACATGACAGTTAAAAGCCAATACACTATAAACTATAATAAATAAAACTATTTTTTCTTTCTTCGAGTTCTATATCCATATTATAAATAAATCTACAATAAACCCTATATATTTTAGATTAAGACAACCTATGAAAGTATCACCAGTTATTAGTAATATATATTTTTTTAATACTTTTAATTTTATATTAAGAATTTTTAAATCATTTGTAATTAACAAATAGTTTTCTACTCATTTACCTATAAATACGTCTCCCTATGCATTCCCTTCCAGTAATTTGAACATTCTTATCAGGTTTTTGAACTTGCTCAAAAAAATAATGTCACCTGTTAAGAAAAAATTTAATGTAGATCAATTTTTGAACATTTATTCCACTTCCCCTAAATAATATGTTTGAAGTGTATCTTACCTTAGTAACTTCTTGATCTGTAACTTAAAGGAAAGTGTAAGTCAATTGAAGAAAAATATTGTTTATACAGGCAAAAGTGGCCAAGACGACATTTGTTATGTTGTGGCAAAGTACGATTATGAACATCAAGGGCCACAAGAATTAGACTTAAAGAAGAACGAGAGGTACGTTCTTCTAGACGACTCAAAACATTGGTGGAAAGTTCAAAATTCACGTGGTCAAGCTGGATATGTACCAAGTAACTACGTGAAAAAGGAGAAACCTTCACTTTTTGATAGCATTAAGAAAAAAGTAAGTCATGAGTTTTAATATTTAAAATTTTCCATTTTTTTTATTATTTGAAATATTTACTGTAATTTTGCGAGACCCACGGTCAGAAAGATCCATTTTTAAGCACTTTGCTCTTATGTTACCAAATAAAAGAAAATAGAGGATAAGGGTTCTTTTGGTGATTAATTAATAATAATTTCAATTATATAGGGTGATTTATATCAAAGTTAGTTTTATTGGTATTTTATTGCATTTTTGAAATCTACAAAGAAAAATAGTGTAATTTTGTTAAGGGTTTGTTATAACTAGAGTATAATTGTTGATATATTCAAGTGTTTTTAACATTTGTGGTGTACAAAAAATGCAAGTATGTTCCAAATTTCTTAATATTGTATTTTTTTTAAGTTCAAATACTTATTAATAAAAAATATTGTAAAGGATATTTATGAAATGGATATTTAACCATAGTTTTAACCACTAAATATTCCTTTATTTTAAATTAACAGCCAGTATATTTTAAAATTATGTATCTTTCCTTCAAACATAGAAGTTATTTTATATCCCCAATTGACTTTCAACAGTTATGCATATTACTTATGTAGGAAATTATGGAAAAGGTAGTGGTTTTTAGAAGAATAGCTTCAAATTTAGAAATCTTATCTACAACACAATTTTATATCCACACTAAGTTTTGTTTGTAGCTTTTACTTTCATGTAATAAAGAACGTACTTCAAGCACTCCAAAACAAATATTTGAGAGTGATTCTCCAATAAATAATCAAATTTTAGTGTTGAACATATGTGCTAAGTGTTATATCAAAAATTCCTTCCGATTAGGTAGTTTTAAATGAAGGGAACATTGGGATGGGTCTATTCTGTAACAATTCCTTTATATTTAACGGCCTTTAAAAATATTTTCTTCTTTACTTCTGTCATTATTTAAATGGATCTTTAAAATACATTAGAGGACTATCTTAAAGAAATCTGTTTAAATAATGACAGAAGTAAATTAACGAATATGAACATATTTTTATAGGCCGCCAATATTTTTAAAGGCCGTTAAATATAAAGGAATTGTTACAGAATAGACCCCATTGCCAGTTATTGTTAATTGCAATTTAGTTGCATTTATTCTATTCATTCATCAAAAACAGAAAGGCTATTCTTATCGTGAACCAGTTTTTATGAAGTTCAGGAGTGTCATAGGAGTACAAGTATAAGCAAGAAAATGGAAAAAGCAATTAATGATATATTAAACATGAAAAATTGTTGCTTGGTTTTCTAAAAGAGATCAAAACTGTAAAATAAGAAATAAATCAAAAAACATTATAGAAGAAAACAAAAAATTATTCCCCAGAGGGAGCATAGAGAGACAGACTTATACATATTTAATGTTAAGCGATGTTGCAAACATATCGTCGAATTTCAGGTTGTTTGTTTTGACATGGACTCGGTTCATAAACGTAGAAAATTTTCAGTGGCGTACTTTCATTGGAAAAAAAGCAATAATTGGTTATTTGTATTAAAATTGATGCTATTTTTTTTTTTTAATTTTGATTTATTTATTTGATTGTTTATATGGATGAAATTAAATTCCTTCGCGTTTTCGAAATTGTTTATGGCATACTGTACAGGACTTCATAATCACAAACAGTTAATGTCAATGTAAAGAATATACAAATGTATTCTACATACACTACACAAATGTATTCTACAAACTATAAATCATTAACTAAACAATATAATAAACGTGAATTTTATTCACACCAAAAAACAAAAACTCATCTGGAAAACACTATAACAAACAAATCAATTCATAATCGGAAGATTCGGAAATTCAGAAGCATCCTAATAATGATTAAAAGGAGCGTTTAGCCAGCTTGATTTTTTTATAGACATTAACATACACTTAAGGATTTTAAAAGAAAACCGTTTATACAGAAAATTTAATCATAAACATAGATTTGACAAATAATTAAAAATAGAAAAAAAAGTAGCTGCTTCTGAAATTGCTCTGATATTTATATCACAAATATTAATAATAAAAAGATGTAGAAAATGAGTTTAGAAGTTCGAAAGTTTAAAATTAGGACAATAGCTTGACCTCAGTTTTTAAATGCATAAGTTCAATTGTATTTTCGACATAAATGTAAGCACCTAGTCGGATTTTATTTATCATCACTATGTTTATGTTAATGTTTATGCTTAGGTTATTCTGTATAAACAGGTGTATTGAATTTTACTTTTATTTTAATGCTTAAAACTAAACTTGTTTCGCAAACCAGTTTAGAATCATTGAATTCCACTTGATCAGCTAATAGATTGTTATAACATTGCGACGTGTTTTTGTCAAAATAATTGGTAAACTGTATTTGAGAATTGGATTTTAGGGTTCTGTTTTCTGTTTGAACCACTCATTTTGAACCCAACTTTACTGACCGCTGACAGATTTAGTAAAGTATCACAAAGGCTTAAGAAATCAAATTTTAGAAATTTACACCTTAATGTGTTAAAGTCTTTTTATACAATATAAGTACTCTATAATATAATCTATTTTAATAAACATAGAAGCTTTGAGTACTAAAAAGTGTAAATATATATAATTTAAATTTGGCAAAATTGTTTTTGGATGATTGTTGTTAGTCCTAATGTAAACATTTACGTTTTATGTGTGTTACAACTTCTCTCTCTGATGCTACCTCTGTAGATCCTTGAAATCTGAAATATGTAATCCTGTTTAATTAGAGTTTACATCTTATCCCTGTTTAATTAGAGTTTACATCTTATCTTATCAATCAAGAATATTGTATTTTTTTGTTACCAAGACAGACACAATCGGAAAATGTTGAATAATCATCATAAGCCAGCTAAGATGTTGCCGACGGTTCCACTTACACTATAAACGATTTGAAGAAAATAGAAGCAGGTGAGCCTGAAGTGAGTAACAAAGAAAAAGTGATGCAACCACTACCGATAACTATCTTAAAAATAAATATCTGTCGCTGCAAAATCTTCCAGTTAAAAGAACTAGAATACAGCATAATAAAAAAAATAGTAAACTAATTTGTGATGCGCCTAATATTTTCTAACTGCTGTTCGAACTGAATTGAACTAACCATTAGTAAATTATATTTCCTTTTAAAAAAACAATTTTGAATTAATAAAATTTTGTACTTCTGTTTATTTTCATTGTATTTTTACTTTTAACAGTATGTTTCAAACGTCTTTTTCTAATATTTAGAAGCTAAAACCAAATTAACTGAAATTTTAATCGGTGGCGTGAGGCCGTCTCAATGTGTATAGCCTTGTGTGCATTGAGACCGTTTTTCGTGTGAGACCTGTGTAGCGCCGCATGTGGCGCGGCAAGTCTCGTCGTGAATAATGGCCCGTTTTTATAAAATAGATAAATAAATGAACAAAAAATAGCACTAAAAACAGTTTAAATTAAAATTACATGAACTGACAACCAGTGTCCAGATAGAGACATAGAAAGTTGTTAATGACTTGAGGGGAAGGAAAATCGTCGCTGTTTACAATTTCTGAGCTGAATATGCTAATGATTTTAAAAAATGTTACTGTTTGATCGGACCCAATTTAGCCAATCAAATTAATTCTTGGCTTGATCCATTATCATTTGTAGATAATCTAAATGTTTCTGAGTCTTTCTATTTTCTCCCGACTAATGTTTTGGAAATTAAAGAGACCATTAATACAATAAAAAATAATAATGCTGCGGGATATGGGATGATATTTCAGCTAAACTTTTATCACAACTGCCAGAAAATGTCATCTTGGTATTGGCAGACGTTATTAATGCCTTATTCAGTTCTGGTATTTTTAGTGATTATGTGAAGATTACTACAGTGATACCCTTGTATAAAGGAGGAGATCATAAATCTTCAAATTTTGGTCCTATATCTTTGATACCGACAATATTAAAAATAGTCGAAAAACTAGTAAAGAAAAGAATGCTGAATTTTCTTAATAAATATTCTGCAATTTATAATCTTCAATTTGGATTTCAGTCCTGTAAAAGTACTACGGATGCGATGTTCGCTTTTCTAGAGAAACTTTATTTGGAGATAAATTAGGGCAATCTGGCTCCAGTTGTCTTTTGTGATTTGCTAAAAGCGTTTGATTGTGTAAATCACAAGATTTTGTTAAGAAAATTGGAAAAATACGGTTTTAAATTGTTTTCAGTCTTATTTAACAACTGCCCATACAGCACAAACATTTCGGAAATATTTCAACAATGTTACATTGAAACATTTGCAATGTTGTATAAATATTACGAAACGTCCCAGAAACATTTCTGAAATATGCCTGAAACGTAAAAATGTCCTCTAAATATAATATTTCACAGTAATATTTCTGAAATGAAAATTAGAAATCTTTTAGAAATATTATATAGTAATATTTCAGAAATGTATTCTAGTTTTATTTTCTAATATATTATTAGACTAAAAAACGACATTTAAAAATATACATGTTTATTTAAAATACACAAAACTCAAACATTGATTCTCAAACAAACAAACAAATAAATAAATGTTTTAAAGAATATTTCATAAAATATAGACGTGAATTGCTTCATTTCCACCAATTTAAATGCACTAATTTGAAACAACTAGGTTTTTTTAATAAATGCTCCAAGTAAAGAAACATTTACTATTATTATAATCTAATTATTAACATCAATTAGCAATTTTATTTTTACCTAACTTATCTAGGGATGAAAAACTCCATAAACTAAGATTCTACTCACTATATAGTGTACTTTAGAGTCTAATTATTTAGTTACACTACTGTTAATGTATAACACTTAACCGCACTATACTCTGTTTTAATCTAACATCACTGAACTAACTCAAAAGGACTGGTTCTCTTGAGCCTTCTTATTAGATTGGCATTGTTGAGGAGCTAGATAATCTCAAGGTTTCCATGTTGGAGCAGTCGTTGTTGGTGACTACTGACAAATTTTTGTATTGCATTTTCAACAGTCTCCACTTTAAGGTCCCTATGAAGATTAGTATTACGGCAGTACTAGGATGCATCGACGATGTTCCTTAATACTTTATTTTTACTGGCACAGCCCCGAAGCTGACAAATTGTTTCATTTCCACCAATTCCTTTAAATGCACTAATCTTAAACAAAATATAGGAAATTGAAAAGGATTTATACAAATTATTAGATTAACAATAGTTTTATTTATCTTCTTTTAAATTAACTATAATAAAACAATACTCATGTCTCAACAAAACATGAAGATTCACCTAAGCAAGCATTATTTATGTAGTTCTCACCTTAATTTCTAAAGACATATTCTGCTTCCGATATAACAAGTTCACAACGCATGAATATCAAAAACCAACAGCTCAAATCTATAATTATTTAGAATATAGGCTTGTTTCTAGCTTGTGGCTGGACAGGGACATGATGAAATAAAAAATAAAATAACTACATATCCCATCTTACAAATCAGAAATTCTTCCTTAATTGTTGGCCTTTTACAACATAACCTGTTTAGTAACCTTTTGTGTAACATGTATACCATGTTTCAGAAACATTTTCAGTGAAATATTTAACTAAAATATTTCAGAAACGTGTGCTTGAAATGTTATATGTTTGAAACGTTTGAAATATTTCTGAAACATTTCTGAAATAATGTGTGCTGTATGGGTGATAGTCATCAAGATGTCTCTTACAGTTACCGCTCCAGTCAAGCTAAGATACAATGCGGTGTTCCGCAAGGATCAGTGCTAGGCACCATTTTATTTTTACTTTATTTCAATGACATAATCAATGTTAACATTAACGGATTTTTCACTATTTTTGCGGATGAAACTATCATTCTATGGACTGATGAGAAGAACGCAGTTTTAGAATATCAGGAGGTAGTGTTTATTGTTTAATATTGAAAAAAACTAATATTCTATCTTTTAAACGTGACCTATCAAACATTTTGAGGGACGATCTCAGAATTGATAGTAGTTTAGATAAGTTTTTAAGGTACTGTATTGATTATAGAATTAAATTCGATAACCATATTAAAAATCTATGCAAGAAGTTGTTCTCAGGTTGTCATGCAGTTAGATCCATTTCCCTAAATGTGAACTTCAATGCCGTCAGGAATGCATATTTCGCACTTATTGATTCTCATTTACGTTACGGTATTTGTTTCTGGGGAAGTTCTCTTTGGAACTTTTTAACAAAATTTTTATTCTACAAAAAAGATCTGTACGATATTTATGTAAGGTCAGTGTGGAGGTTTCATCCAAACCATTGTTTTTTAATCATAAAATTTCAACCATTTCATGTTTTTTAATGTTAGAAACTGTTTGCTTAGCTTTTAGAAAATTTAATTCGTACCTCGTTATCCAATACTCGGCCAAATATATTTGATTTCTCTTCTCATTTCCCACTTTTCACTTACTAAAAATTCTATTGTTTATTTAATTAAAAAAATAATTAACCACTTATCCTTGGAAATTAGACAAACAAATCCTTTAAAGAAGTTGCGTAGACTTATCAAGGAACTATTGCTTTCAAAAGCCTATTATGCCGTAGAGGATTTTTTCTATATCTTATACAATAAAGTATTTTTGATTGATTGATAGGTACCTTGATTAACGAAATTTAATGAATTAATATATTACAAGAACTATACGATTATCTTTGAAACTATTACAGGTAAGTATAGGGAATTTATCTACCTCATTTGAAAGGGTTTTAAAAGATACTTCAAATAATGTTAAAATATACTGGATGTTCTATTTAAAATAACGCGGAGTGTTTGGTGTTTAAAACTACGTATAATAAATACGTTTATTCTGTAAACACCCTTTAAAATATTTTTAATCTGATTAAAAACAATTTGTTTTGGTTCTACAGACCAAGGCATTACCGGTGGCCCACCCTGTTTATTTTTTACTTGATATTTCTGAAGTTCAAAAGTATTCGTAAATCTTTAGTCTTTCTAAACACCTCAGCTACAACTAAAAGGTTTTTAGCGAGTTGAGAGGTAGGTCGGTCCTATATGCCCCTGGAGGATGCATAATGAGCCTAGTGAAGCCTGAGTGGTGTGGAGCAACAAATCCTCCCTATCTTGCAGATACAGATAATCTTTCTAAGTAGTACATTGTTCAATAAGCAAAGAAGGTACTCTTCTTGTAAATCATACTCCTAGGAAGTAAGCATTCCTTTCTAGAACACGATTTTTTTATGGCGATAACACGCTGCTTCCCTTTTTTAATTAAGTAGTTTTCTAATTTATAAAATTAAAATGACAGCTTTCTTCTTGTCTCCTCGTTGGTAAATCTCTTTCAGTGCTATTTAGTGCAAAGCTTAATGGGTTTAAGTCTGCCAAATTTTCTACATCTGGAGTTCCTCACGATTCCAATCTGGGCCCGTTACTATTTAATATTTTCATCTCAAGTGTAATTAAAGAGCAGTTTCTACTGTATGCAGATGATTTGAAGTTATACAAGTATTGGCGACTGTGAACAACTTCACATGAACTTAAATCTAGTGGTTAAATGATGTAATAAACTTGAACTAAACCCAATGAAATGTAAAGTTATGTCTTTTACTTTAAAAACCGACCAAAAAAAATATAATTATTTAATAGCTAATGTCTCACTTCAGCGACCTGATACTTTTACAGATCTTGGGGTGATTTTTGATCCCGGATTGACCTTTATATGTCACATTGATAAAATGATTGAAACATCGTATCGTATGTATGGTTTTAAAACTTGTTGTACCAGGAATTTCAAAGATGTAGCCACATTAAAAACGTTATATTACTCTCTTATAAGATAAAAGCTTGAACATGCGTCTGTCGCCTGGAGTCCATTTTACCAACTTCACATTGATCGAATTGAAGCAATTCAAAGGTGGTTTCTAAAATTACTGTGTTGAGGATGATTTTTATCCGCCAATCGGAGTTCCACACCAAAATCTGCAAAGATATCACTTTATAAGCCTCATAAAAAAAGTGATAACCATTGTTATATGTTAGGTTTCAAAATTGTTAACGGTTTAATTGATTCTCCTGAATTGTTGAGAAAAATTGATATCTGCATTCCGAGAGTATCCTCTAGAAATTCTGACATATTTTACATATCTGTACCTCGCACAAATGTTCTGAAAAATTATCCATTTTATACATTGACATCTTCTCATGCAAACTTAGGGAAATAAAATATAATTTCCTAACTTCCTTTCCTAGCTGAGCACAAATTTTTGTTCCACTTAGTCTAAATAATGTATATGTTCTTTTATCCCTGTTCTGTAATTGGGATTGCCAGTAGAGCATTGTAATAAATAATTATTTTTTAATGATTGACATTTCATGGCACACATAATTTTATTAAAATAATTAGGGAAAGACTACTTTGTGTTACAGATAAAGATCTGAACGGAAATTATTACTTTGTGTTATCAGAATGATCAAATAAGGAAATTTACCTCAACAATATTTGATAAAGTATAGTTTTGTATTATAGCCATAGAAAAAATAATTTTCAGTGTTCATTTTTTAATAAGTTCCCTTAATGAATTATTTTCTACATCAATTTAAATCAAGAAAGTAATAAAAATGTCGATTTTGTAAGCAAACCAATATAATTTGAAATGACACTAATAATAACTGTTTTTACAACATAAAGTTTACTACTGAAACAATGCCAAGTTTACTATTTCTTGGAATTTTCAAAACAATCATTTTCTAAAACTCATTCGAAGATGAAAGATGTATCTTTTCAACTGTTTCAGTGTAAATACTTATTTTATTTTGTAAATATTTTTTTAATTGGACTATAAAATAAAGGGTGTATCTTATAGTGGTATCCGAAGTTTTTTTTAAATAATTTGAGAAACAGTGAATTTTTTATAATAAATGTTTTTTTTTTTTTTTAATTGGATCCATTCAATTTATTTGGTTACTTTTTGAAGATGATATCGGCCAAGTGCCACCTCCGGACGCCACACATAAATCGGTCCGTTTTTCGGCATTTTCCATCACTTTTTGGAGTGTTTTCGGGTTGAATGGCAACGATTTCTCGGCTATGTTAGCCTTAAGTTGTTGGAGAGTGGCTGGTTTATCGGCATAAACCTTTCACTTCAGGTATCCCCACAGGAAAAAATCAGGTGCTGTCAAATCTGGTGAATGAGCCGGCCAGTCGAAATCGCCGTATTTCGATATCAATCGATTTGGGAATATGGCACGCAATAGGAGTTTTTTTGAAAATAAATTTTTTACAATTTCAGCACGTTGTGGTGTAAGGTGGTTCATTGTTAAAATTGTACTGGACTGACGTTTCTAAAACATTAACAAACATGGCGATCTGTCACCTGGTTGTCAAGTTATTTGAAAAAAACATCGGGTACCACTATAAGATACACCCTTTATATAATTTCAAATAAACAGCTTAACTTAAAATTAATTGTCTACAGCTACAAAAATATGAATATCTTTTAAAATTTTTCTTATATAAATTGGATTTACACAGGGCATCTGATACTTCACTAAATTTTATCCTTTTTACATGCTTAAGAATATTTTTTGTGAGCTACTTTTTTATTTTTTACTCGTACAAAGCTCATCATCCCTATATTCATCTTTCAGTGTCTTTATTTCTGTTTTTTCTTGTTGCCATATTTACCAATTTTTGTATTCAATGACATAATTTATAAACAATAATTTGCAACTACAATCAATATCTCATTTTCAATTAAAATAAATTTTGCAATCGATATAATTCTTTTCAGGTAAAAAAAGGTTCCGGATCAAAAACTCTTCCCTCCAACAATTCCCCATCTCGTACCGTAGAATCTCCAAACATGGCTAGACGACTCCCAGCTGATCCTTCTGAAGCAATCGGAGTCGCCATTGTCAAATATAACTACCAGGCTCAACAGCCCGACGAATTGTCACTTGTCAAAGGCTCTAGGATTCTCATTTTAGAAAAGAGCAATGACGGTAAGTTAGTTTAAGTTTGATATTTGAAGTATGGTTGAATTTGACACAATTTTGTTTTAGGATGGTGGCGAGGCCAGAGTAGTAACATTTCAGGATGGTTCCCCTCGAATTATACACAGGAAGAAGGAGAAGTCGACGATACCTTGCATACATATGCAATGGCAGAGAACGTTCTGGATATTGTCGTAGCTTTATATTCGTTTTCGTCATCAAATGAACAAGAATTATCCTTCGAAAAAGGAGATCGACTCGAAATATTGGATAGGCCAGCTAGTGATCCAGAATGGTTCGTAATTTATGATTTTACAATAGAATTTAATAAAATTATATTTTTGACTCTGGTCGTATAAATGTTATATGCGACCTTAAAGTAAATAAATGTATAGAACGTATTTAACAAAGTTTCTTTTGAATACATTTCTGTTATGTTATAAAAATATATTTCACAAACAATTATTTTGTTTTGTTCTACAGGTATAAAGCAAGAAATTCCCAAGGGCAAATCGGTCTAGTGCCAAGGAACTACTTGCAAGAGCTGAACGATTATCTGGACCGTCCATTGTTACAAGAAAGAAACAGACCCGGACCGATGGAAACGTCAATGGAAAGGTCAACGGTGTCAATGACGGATAAGCCTCACCTTATTGACAGACCTTGGTACTATGGTAACATCACAAGGTATGTGTGTGATAACATACTGAACCAGCACGGACATGACGGTGATTTTCTCATAAGGGACAGCGAAACGAATGTAAGTATTGCTTGATAATGACAGATTTGACAGCTGTCACAAGTATTTAAAATGAACAGGACCCTACTTGCAAAAATTCCCAAAGTGTAGTTCTTTTTGTCAAATTGTAGTGATGGGTATTTTTCGGAGAAGTAATTTTTGAATATTTCCGACGGACATGTCTATAACATGTCCGGACAAGTAGTGAAAAGTAGTTGACCATGAAAAAACTTGATATAAAGATGTAAGGTAGTCAGGACCGTCTTTATATTTCGTTCGATTCAGACAAAAAAGGATTATTTTGTTGTATAATAACTTTTTTTAAGTCCATATTTAGTCCTTTTTATTTTTCTATGTTGTCAACTAGTTTATGCCCTATTGATTTTGAAATTGGTATATTCTCTGTATCTATTTGCAACGTGTGGAGGGTGGGTTACTCCCACGGCACTTAGGCCTCATTAGGCCCATTGTGCATCCTTCTAAGATGATAAGCACCTCCTAGCTCGTAAGCCAGCCTACAGATTTAATGTAGTTGATAACGTCGCCAATAGGTGCTTCTGTTATATCGGCCGGTGTTAGTCGATACTCACCGAACACAAATCTTCTAATAAATGAGAGCGTCGAGCAATCGTAAAGGATATGGTCGATGGTCTCATCTTCTTGTTCGCACCCTCTGCAGAGTGCGGATTCTAACAGCCTCATGATATGTAGATGTTTCCGTAATTGGTATATTAAATACTATTCAATAAAATATTTATTTTTATTTTAAATGCAGGAAAACAGGTTTTTTTTTACGTCGCGGTAAATTGTCAATGATACCAATAAGTAAAAATTTGTTGCATTTCGATTTAACGCAGTAAATGTCATGTAAAAGGTCGTAAACATGGAAACGTTATAATTTTTATGTTGCCGTTTTGAAGTTTGAACTGACTAAACAATTACTTCAGAATTACCGATAACCATGATTTAACGACTCATTTAAGACAGATTACGAACTTGAAAGTGATACTTACACGAAAGATGTGGCAAACGCTACAATTTTAAATATGTTACTGGCGAAGTCCAAACTATTGTACGAAAAAATATAAAAAACAGTTTATTTTACGTATCCTTAATAACAAAAAATATTTAATTTGTAGTCTTATGTATGAAAACGTTAAATAAATAAAACTGTACAGTATATACATAAATAAAAAAAGGGTTTTAGTGACTTTTTTATTTATAAAAACAAAAGAAAAAAATGTAGAAAGCACTTTTTAAACAAGTTACTCAAGTGGAAATATTTTCTTTCTTATAATCTTCAACTTCAAAAATTATTATCTTTGTTCCTTCAGAGTTAATTTTTTATATACATTTTTTTTTTGAAACATTAATGTTCTTGGCCTTATTTCTGGGGTTGAGCAAAACACTCGATAATTTTTTTTTTTTTGTTGAAAAATCATAACCTTTTCACGACATAAAAAGAATTTTATTTTGATTTGAGTTAGGGGTCGGGGAGCGATGTTTGATATAGATTGTCATTTTAACTAATAAAAAACATAATGTAGGTATAATAATTTACTATGAATTAAAAAATTTGATATATCTTCGTACATATCAAACTACTTGGCAAAATTGTACAAATACGTTGAAATATTTGTTTTAAATTGTACAATTTTTTTGATTTTAACATTAAATTTCTCACTCAAGGCCACAGTAGCAGTCTCGTAACTTTAACTAATTTTGATAGATGTCATGTATATGTTATATTTAAGAGTTCTTTTGTTCAAAATATGAGTAATATTAACCCGATCTTAATCAACATGGCAACACTGTCTTGAAATCCTGTTTTGTGCGATTAAACATCTGATAAATACAAATATATCAATTAAATTTATTTGATACAAATACATTTCATACAATTAAAAATTAAATTAACATAATAATCAAATTATAATTAAGTTAAAGCACCTAGGTTCAAGCACCTGTATTTGCTAAAGTAAAGTAATAGCATAGTAATATACAAATTTATACTTATAGTATACATACATATATAGTATACATACATATATAGTTTTAAAATATCAGTAATAAGAATACAAAATTATCTAGAAGTGATATACTGTTTTGATTTCTGAAATAATTTTAAATTTTTTATATTCCTTACATTGACAGGTAAGGTGTTAAAGATTTTGGGAGCAACTCTTTGACTTGCATCTCGCTGAACTGCTGGAGTTCTCAGATTGTTTTTGTATGGTAGTCTTCCTTTGATATACATACTAGTCAATAATTGGTGAAGAATAAATTAAACAAAAAACTGGTTCATTCTTACACAGATAGCAATTATCTTGCATAGACAGAACGGCATTAAAAAAATATTATTCAAAATAAATGATTTTTGTGATAAATATGTATATCAAAAATTTGTATAGGTTTTTTATGTTTTAATAGGCTAAAACTAAAATTAATAATTTCAGTACTAAATCTAAAATAATGTCACTGACCTATTTGACTCGTTTTATACACGTCAGCAAACAAAATTATTTAAATTTTAATATTTTCGTTTTATTATTTTCCAATATAAATATTAAATCTTCGTATTTTTCTCCTCTTTTTACTTTCCTATCTGTATACAGATATAAGGAAAGTATAGGAATCATGATTTTTTTCGACCTCGAGTTTTCGACGGATTTATACGTTTTGAGGTCCCCTGAATCCGTTTTGACTATTTTCGCGATGATGTCTGTGTGTGTGTCTGTGGTCGCATAACTCATGAACCGATCGACAGAAATACACCAAATTTTAAACTTAAGCTTTATTCCAGCGTCTAATGAACTGATTAGATTTTGGGCAGAGTCGGAACATCTGGGGGGGTACTTTATAGGTGGTCATTTTTATATTTTATAGAATATATCTGTTATTTACGTTTGGAGAAGAAAATTCTTTAAATAAAAGTTACTTCTAATATAATTATCTATAATTTTTGTTCTATACAAAATTTTCCTAAAATGGTCCGTATTCGAGAAATTTGACAAAATGTAAAAAAAATATTTTTTTTATAAAAATTGTTCAAATAAAAGTTGTTTGTATTATAATTTTCTATAATTTTTATTCTATACATAATTTCTCTAAAATGGACCGTATTCGAGATATTTGAGAAAATGTGTAAATTTCGAATTTTGAAGAAAACTCAAAAACGGATAAAGAAAAAAACATTAAATTTTAAACTTAAGGTTTATTTCGGCCTGACGTGAAATTATTAGATTTTGGACAAAGTCGGAACATCTAGGGGGGTACTTTATGGGAGGCCGTTTTTATATTTTATGGAATATATCTGTCATTTATGTTTGGAGAAGAAAATTGTTCAAATAAAAGTTACTTCTAATATTATTATCTATAATTCTTGTTTAATACAAAATTTTTCTAAAATGGTCCGTATTCGAGAAATTTGACAAAATGTAAAAAAAATATTTTTTTATAAAAATTGTTCAAATAAAAGTTGTTTGTAATATAATTCTCTATAATTTTTATTTTATACATAATTTCTCTAAAATGGACCGTATTCGAAATATTTGAGAAAATGTGTAAATTTTGAAGAAAACTCAAAAACGGATAAAGAAAAAACATTAAATTTTATACTTAAATTTTATTTCGGCCTGACGTGAAATGATTAGATTTTGGACAAAGTCGGAACATCTAGGGGGGGTACTTTATGGGAGGCCGTTTTTATATTTTATGGAATATATCTGTTATTTATGTTTGGAGAAGAAAATTGTTCAAATTAAAGTTACTTCTAATATTATTATCTATAATTTTTATTTTATGTCAAAATTTCCTGAAATGGTCCGTATCCGAGAAATTTGACAAAATGTGCAAAGTTCTGATTTTTATGAAAATTGTTGAACTAAAAGTTGTTTGCGATATCGATCTCTATAATTTTTGTTTATACATGATTTTTCTAAAATGGACCGTAATGGAAAAGTGCTAAATTAAAATTTTTCAGTATTTTCGTTTTCAATGAATATCTATAGAAAAATGTTTTGAGGTAGATGTATGTGGACAATGTATATATTTAGTTTGTCCTCTAAACATTTATAGCGGTGCTGCAATAGGTTGTACAAAATAACCAGAAAAAGCCTATAATAACTAGATAGGAAAGTCATGTGTTGGACACATCAGATTTATTTTTTTATTCTACACTTTCCTATTCATCTAAATCATCTGACTGACATTGTAAATAAAAATACCAGCCATTTTCGCCATAGTTGGCTCCAACTCTTTGTGACTTGTGTCTTTTTCATTTTGATTTCTTTCGGATACCATTTTTAAAAATACGATATATTGTTCTTTCAGCTTTACCAGAAAATCATTTTTTTCAATAGCTTGGCGTTATTTCTTCAGTTTTTGTAATATTTGCCTTAACTTTAGTGCACAAATACTATTATTACGAGATGAAGCCAGAGGTGGAAAATTTAGAAAAATCACTCTATCATACTCACACTCACTAATATTTTCATTAGGTTTATTTATATTTTACAAACTTTCAAAAGTATTGGCATGATGGAACACGTTTTTTGAAAAATATATAAATATTTTTAGATGGGTTCCCAGGCAGCACACTTTGGTATAAATTACGTTTTTTTTAGGTACTACCATAAGTATGAATACGGTTGATGTACTACCAAATATATTCGTGAAAATGTCCGCCTTATAAACGTCGATTACTAAGAATTTATCCACCTATAATTAAACGTTTTTACTATACGTCTATATTAGATTTATAGTTGTAGTATATTTATACGAATCAACTTTGGTATAAAAGACGTTTTTTTATGTACTACAATATACGTATGGATACCGTTGATATGCTACCCAATATATACGTGAAAATGTCCGCCCTATAAACGTATATTTTTTTTATGTTTTATACGTCTAACTTTACTACTTTATCTACCTTTTATTATCCTGTTTTACTATACGTCTATATTAGATTTATCTTATTTTATTAATGTGTAAAATGCGTCTACTTGATATTGTTTTAAATGTATTTCAAACACAAATTAAATAAAGTGATCAAAACAAAATTTCTAAAAGAGGTCAAGGAAAAATGTTAATATTTCTTAAATGACAGTTTGGATTTCATCCATAGCAGGTGTGTATACATTAGAAATAGGTATTACTCGTGTTTCTATTTTGGTTGTAATTGGCCTAAATATTTAGCAAATTTTTTTTATCACTTGTTATATGTACAGAACAATACTTTATTAAAAAAAAAAAAAAAAATAAACAATAAAATACTAAAAAATAAATAAGTACTAAAAAATAAACACTAAAATACTGAATAACAAACTAAACGAAACTTTTCTTTAACTGACAAAAAATATATATGAAAATTAACATCTTAGCTTAACATTTTGGATGTGTTGTGTCCTAGACAGGCCTTAGCTAACTTAAGCCAATCTTGCATAGCACTTCTAATCGTTCGGTCGGTTAAGTCTCTTGGTTCACCCCCATTCCTATAACCAAAATATAACTGAAATATTTTCTAAAAGCTCCAAAGTTAAATTTGTATTATTTTCTAGGAAATTATTATAAATAATAGAATCAGATGATATATTAATGTCCGACGCCTTATTAATGTTATCTTCATTGGGAATAAAAAAAATTGATTTGACTTTAAAGCATCTTGAACATTTTGTGCTATTTTTCTTAGTAGATGACGCCGAGACAGGGTTATTTTAGATATTTTATTAAATAAAAAACAACTGATAAAAAAAAAGGGAAATAAGTATGCTTGGAATAACTAGGCAGCCTAAAAAATACGTATAGAAATACGTATAAAAATAAGAGAAACAAAAGTAAGGTTATGTTCTGGAATTTCTATAATAATTTTACACAGTGTAATAAAATGCAACAATTATTAAAAGAGTAGCTAAATTAAAACATTAATAGAAACTTACCTATATGCTTTTAATCAATATCGTAAAAGCCAGGACGCCAAAGCAACATGCAATGCAACTGGGCACAACAACAACAACAACAACACCAACAATTTTACAAGAACTTTTTAATACATAAAAAACAATTATCGTGGTTAGCAACTAGTTAACAGAAATATAACTTATAATAGCGTGAATTGTCTGATTGATGCGAGCACTTCACAGCAACCAGCCACCATCAGTCAGCTGATTCCCGATCGTCTGCCGGTACCTTACTCCCCTCTCGATTCTCTGCACTACGCGAACTTTGGACCAGCCCGAATTAGCTTAAAGTACACCCCAAATCTCACTCACTGAAACGACATGGACTAGTCCATCCCACCATGGTTATTGGCGGGTTATTTAAATGTTCGGGTGTTTGAAATCTGTACAATGGGGAATTGTTATAAATATTACAGGTAATATAATTAAAAAAATATGGTGTAATGTAAATAAATAAGCTTTTTATTTAAATAAACCTAAATATATACATATTATTTACTTCTGTCTACTAGTTCATCGTAAACTGGTAATATGCGTTTAAGGTGACTTATATTTAAACGTAGAATAATATAGGTATATTAACTAGTATCCACAAACAAAAGCGTTTAATTTATATGTTAAAAAACGTTAAGTATAAAAATGGTAGATGGTAAACGTTTAAAAAATCAACCAAGACGAAATTTAAACGGGAGTTATAAACGAAGAACACATTGTAATATTATGTAAATTTATACGAATTTAATTTAAATAAACCTAAACGTATATTAAGGCCCACTGTATATAAATAGTTCATCGCAAACTAAAAATAGTCGTATATTGTTAACTACATTTAAACGCAGAAAAATTTACAATTATATACCATAGGATGTATACAAAAAACGAATAATATATCTTTTAAAATACGGCATGTATAATAATCGTAAACTGTAAACGTATACGGAATCAACCAATACCAAAATTAAACGAGTATTACGTATAAAATACGTTAGTTATACTAATGTGTGCTGCCTGGGTTGTATTCTTCTGCTGTCCAGTCGGCCACATCTGCGATTACCGAGTCAGGGAAGTGTGTTGACAGTACAAGTTTGATGCTATCTTTGAGGTTTGCAGTTTTCATGCCATCCTCTTTGATAAGCGCACCAATACTGTGGTGTGGATCTCTCTGTTTTTGTCTAACGATTTTTTGTATTCTCTGAGGTAGGATTTGTAAATATCCCAGTCCTCTTTGAGTTTTGTGGTTCTTGCCTATGATCCAACTCGTAATACAACCATGCGATAGTCGTCTGATCGTGTTGGACCAGCCTTAGGGGGCAGAATTTATTATAGGCATTGTTTATTGTGCTTTGGATAGTGTTCAAGTACTTTTCCAAAGCATTGTTATTGTTTGGTGTTTCGGCCTCCACCTCTCTCAAAGATTCTTGGAGAAGGTGAGCATAAGCTTCCCTGTTTGTCTTCCTAGAGTTTCGAGATAACGTGGAGGTCGGCAACATCAAGTTTATTTTGAATGTTAACCAGCGGTGGTCTGACATCGAAATGTCATCAGACAATTGCCAGTTTAGAATTGATTTATAGATACCAGTTGTGGATAAAGCGATATCTATTAGTGTTTGTCTGCGACTCTGCGAGAGTTTAAAAATGTTGTTGTGGTACCTTTAATTAAAATACAAAGATTTTTGGTTATTATATTATCATAAAGTGACTTGTCCTAGCGTTTTTATCCTTATTGCCCCAACTGAAGTGATGGGCATTTGAGTCGCAACCTATTACCAGCTCAAAATTCTGGTTCAGGCAGTTTCAATCAGATCCTCTAACTCTTTGCTGGGTGGTGGCGTGGTTGCGTCGGAGGGGAGGTATGCAGATGTCAGTATCAACATTTTCTTTTCCCTCTTGATGGCATATTTCATCTTAACCACAGTTAAATCGGAGATGGAAAGGTGTGCCATTAAGTGGGCTTTATATTTCATAGGAATATAAATGGCTGTCCTAGGTTGTTAGTTGCTGGGAAAGCAAAAAAATAAACCATTTAGATTTTTTAGACCTACAATTTTGGTTTTTATTATTCAGAGTTCCTGCTGGATGAGTGCTATTGTATCTTGCAGCTCATCAAGGCGGCGGTATAATGTTATCATAGCCACCCTTTTGTGCTGCAAGTTACATTGAATAATTTTCACCTCTTTAATTGCTTCCTGATCCTCCATTAACATTTGGGAAGCGTTTGAGGTTAGTTGTCTCCAATGCTTAAATAGTATGTTAAACAAACAATTAATTTATAACAGTTGTAAAACACATCGTCCATCTCTTGATCACTGGTGCTTAAGTACTTATCCCTTACCATTTAATTTTTTGTTTTTTTTTTTTTATTATTTTTCTTCGCCAATTATTGACTAGAAATACTATATAATAAGGAATTAAAGACATTTCTTAATCGTAATTCTTAGATTTGAAAAATACCCAATAAAATTTAGAAATATTTCGGCGGGATATTCAGAAAAATATGTGGAATAAACTCTTCTTTTGACATTGTCATTATACACGGAATAACAGAAACTTTATTTCTAGATGGGCGATTACTCTGTGTCTCTGAAAGCCCCCGGTAGAAACAAGCATTTCCGCGTGCACGTCGAAGGCGCTCTTTACTGCATAGGTCAACGAAAGTTCCACACATTGGACCAGCTGGTGGACCACTATCAGAGGGCGCCCATTTACACCAACAAACAGGGCGAGAAACTCTATTTAGTTCGTCCTCTGCCGAAGACAAAATAATAATAAATCCATTCACTCAAGGACTTCCTAGAATTAAAATATGTGCTATCCGTGTGAGTGTTCATTTTGTTTATTTTATTATTATTTTTTAGTCATTTAGACAGTTAGTACTCAATGACGAACCTATGTATATCTGGTCATATTATTATATATTTTTTGTTTGTTTGTTTTTTGTAAATATGAGTTTTTTTAAGTTATTGAATTTTTAGTGATTTTTTTAGTGGTAGTTTTATAAGGCACAAGAGAGTTTTTTTACGTTCAAAGTGGTTGTCCTGATGGTGTTTTTAAGTTTTTTGGAAAATTTGACCGATACGAACATTTTATTTAGATTATTTTGGAATGTGTTAAATATTTACGATTGAATATCAGTAGACGAATCGCGTCAACAAACTATGGAGCTAAAACCAGTATAGGGACTTCTAAAAATGGAAATAATGTCTCAACTCTTGAAAAGGTTATAAACAATTATATTTCGAAAATTTTGTTAACATAAAGTACTTTATACATTTTATTACTTCATTTAAAAAAAGTGTAGGTACATATATATTAAAAAAAAGATTGATTTTTTAATGCAAGGTCCCTGAAACTATACCCCAGTTCCAGAAGTTTGCAAACTTACGTTATGTGTCAATGTCACTGACTGTGAAGCTTCACGGTCCATATATTAATTATTAGGATACGATGAATTAATGTTTTATTTGTAAAATTTATAAAAAAAAATTATGCCATACATTGTACATATTCTACAGCATGGGCCACAGATAACGCCTCTGACTTTAGGGCCAACACTATTTGTTTTTTTTTAATCTGTTTTCACGGCGAGATGTCTTCGTATATCAGAAATAGCGACAATTTAAAAATAATTTCATTTTTACAGGGTTTTCCAGGAAAGTGATACATATCAAAGTTAGGTTTTTTTTATACTGCAAAAGAAACAATTGAAAACCATTTTTTGCGGTAAAGTTTTTCGATGTTAGTCAACATTTTATGCCGATGTCACTAATTTTTTCAATTCTAAACAAATCTGTACAGGGCGAGTCAAAACTCAGATAAGTACATAATTTTATTATTTTTTTTTTAATTGACGATCCTGTATTTTATATCACCTTTCAAAAGTACCTTAATAATTTTTCATTTGAGTTTAGCATTCCCTATAGTTAGGGGTTTTTAAATTTAAATGACAAAAAAGATAATTCACCAAGTACTTTAATTTTAACTGGTTACTGGTTAATAGCAAATAGGTTCTTTGTTAATTAGCAATTAGAATTTAACCACTTATAGTTTATTATCGACTGAATAAGTTTTTGACAATTTCTAATAGGACACATTCAGTAAAAAATAAATACTAATAGCAACCAATTATAAACTCCATTATAAAACCTACTTTATTCTAATTTTATGTTTTTAAGTTGACTTTGAAACCACAATACATTTCGTTAATACTAATGTAATTAGTGTTGCAATAGTCTTTTTTTTTAGTCTAGTCAGTTTTTTAATATGACCTTTAATCGTGAATAAAAGTATTTCAAGTGTTACTCAGGAAATGTTTAGAAATATAAGTTGGACCTTTGAAAACCATCTTTAGACCTCCATAAATATTATTGGAGGTCACTTGTCGAAACTTTTCTAATTAAATTAAATCTGCCTAAATAATACTTGATACATTTAGAATAAAGTATTATGTGAAGTTTTTAGTTCCTTTTTTTTACTGAAAGAGTCGCATTAGTTATTGTCAAGGCCTTATTTAGTCAGTAATAAATTATAACTGGTTAAATTTATCAATAATAATAATAAACCTATGATTGAGTCTCAAACTTTGTGATCTGCCACAATTTGGGGTTTTAATAATAACAAACAGATTAATTAAGTACTATGGAGGTGTGTAGACTCAGTCTTATTTTTTATTAACCAGTGATCAGTCAAAGTGTTTTGTGAATGATTTTTTTTGTAATTTAAATTTAAAAATTTCCCAAAATTATTAACTTTAGTTATATGCTTAACTAAAATGATAGTGTAATTAAGGTATTTTTAAATGGCGATATAAAATTAAAAAAAATGAGAAAATAAAGTATTTTCATTTTGACTCACCTTGTACAATTTGGTTTTAATTGAAAAAATTATGCATCGGCGTTAATGTTTGACTAGCATCGAAAAACTTTTACAGCAAAAAAATTTGTTTTCAATTGTTTCTTTTGCAGTGTGTGTGATTAGATTTAGGTTTCCCTTGGCTACAGATACTAAATCCATTCGCAGGTTTGTTTTGCAGTCTACAGGTCATTTCCATTAACACTGGTTACAGCGTGTGAAATACTCTGTATAATTCCATACTATTTGGTATTTTTATAATAAGAAAAGCTATGGCAATTCAAATATAAAATTAATTACAGGATATCCCGTTTAAAAAAAAAAAAATACGTAACTTTGATATGTATCACTTTCCTGAAGAACCTTGTATAATTGAAATTATTTTTAAATTGTTGCCTGTTCTGACATACATCTCGCTGTGAAAACAGATTTTGAAAAAATCAAATAGTTTTGGCTCTACAGACTGAGGCGTTACCAGTCGCCCACCCTGTATAATACTATAATAAATTTGTAACGATTTGGCGTGCTCTCTGAATAAAACTGTGATTAAGTCACAAACTTTGTGATCTGCCACAATTTGGGGTTTTAATAATAAAAAACGGATTAATTAAGTACTATGGAGGTGTGTAGGCTCAGTGGTTAGAGTCATACTTTGAGATCGAAAGGCTCAGGTTCGAATCACTCCAGTGACAGGATTTTTATTTAATTTAACGAATTAAATATTAATTCCCCACTCGACCATTCACTGTTAAATTCTAATTAACAGTACTTTTCCTAAAGTGGCGCTGAGAAACCGTTACAAAGCCTACACAGAACACGAGGCTAATAACTGTAGCAGTTGATGTCGATGACACACACAAAAAAAAACTACGTAATACGTCCCAGCGATAACCTATAAATCGACTTCAATCTTCTAAGCACTATATTACTTTAAGCCAGGCTTCATGACTGTATAAGGTTACTACTCTTAATTTCAGTGTCTAACGTACCTCTGTAGGAGACTAAAAAAGAAACACAGTTTTCTTGAAATAAATTATATATTATAAAAATTCTATAAAATAAGTCATAACCCGACTTACATAATGTTCGGGGAGACACTCAAAAGTACTATTTTTCTACTATTCTACTATTTTTCGAGAAAAATTAATCAAAAAAGTCAATTTCACAAGTTATATGCACAAAACATTCCAGTTTATATGAAAGATTGTCTTGAAAATAACAGCGTTGCTAAGTTGATAATTAAAGTATAAGTTTCAAGATTATTTATAATATATAATTACGAGATTATAAAAAAATTGATGTGATCAAAAACCATATATTTTTTATCTTTTCGATTAATAATTTGTTGAACATTTCACTATTAGCAAACTAGTCCCACAATAGAGCTGAAGAGGTCGCGGTGGACAAGAACAAATAATGTCAAACTCCTTTCATTCAACAAATTACATAATGTATGGGGCAACATGGTTTGAATGACGTCATTTTGCAAATTTTTGGGACTAATGTAGAGGGTATTTTCTTAACATAATATAGATGCAGTTTGGTGTTTAAAATAAAAAAATAATGCATTCATAAAAAAAACTTAACATAAATTTTACTAAAGCAAAAGCACTAAACTCAACATCGTGGTTAAAAAATACCTGAATAAAGTATTATTTTTAGAAATATTCATCTATTTCATTTAATATTTGCTCCTTTGTTAAAAGGTTTTCTAGCAACGAGGATCTACAGTTCTATTGTTGATCTTAGAAAAATGTTTCATGGAAAGAAGTTGTAAATCGTATTTAGCTAGTCAAGAACCAAAAAGGCAACCACAGGAAAGCCGCTTTGCACCATTGAGATGTATTTAAAAAAAAGATATACCAAGTGATTTATTAAACAAAAACAGCTTTATAAACAGTCAAATACTCAATATAGTGTAGAACATGTTATTCCTAAAAGTTTGTTTGCATTTACATTATAAAAAAAAACGGTTTAGAAAAATTGATTGCAAGACTTACTAGAGTATTTTTTACATGAAAAAACGTCAGTAAACCAATTGTGAGGGTTGTAAAAAAATTATAAGTGAAAATTATATTTCTAGGTAAATATGTCTAGGTTAAAAATGTTCTGAATATTAACATGATACTCTAACGAACAAAAATACCCTCAATTTAGATCCAATTTAATTAATTATTTATAATTATTATAAAGACTGATATTACCCATCAAGAGTTATTATACCAATACCTTTATTAGACATTTTCAAGTAAAACTTTTGTCCACTGCCCGATATTCCGACCCATGAGTTTATAGTCATTTTTATTTTCAAATACTTTCTATTTTGGTCCAATTTCTTTATCTCCTTCCTTTAAATATCTCTGGGGCAACCTTTTAAAACTCTTGATTTTCTTGGCCTACCTCTTTATTTTGTTCTTTGTCCTCTTGATTTGTAGTCTTAGTTAACTTCTCTTTTAGCATCCTTTAATAATAGTAAGGTATCTAGAATTTACTCAATCTCTACGTTTTCCAAAATATTACCTACCTTAGGTGTGTTTCTGTCTTCATCTTCATGTAAAGTAAACTCGAATAGAGAAGATACCATTATGTCGATACCATTACTCGCATCGACGTTACTGTTTTATAACAGCTAGATTTCAAACCTGTGGCATATACCATTAGTTGTTAATACGATTAGTAATAACAGCAAGCCACTTCACCAGCGTTGCGCCACTGACATTGTTGAAGAGCAATGTTACCAGGACGATCGATAACAGTGGACCAGGGTGCTTCATGAAATAATGGTATTTTCTCTGTTCAGGTTCGCTCTGACATTGCAGCTATTGTCAACACCTTCGCTGAGGAAGCCAATAATTAAAACTTTGTTTGGGGGCGTTATGGAGTATATATGTCTCGTCGTTGATCTTCGGTTGGGCGGTACAAGACAAATGCGCCCCATATAGTTCGTGCGTTTAACCTTTGTGTTAGTGAAATATCACTTAAAAATATAAATATATTTTGACATACCCTTTATTATAAAGAATCAACAAATGTACTGCGTGCTCAGGACGGTTTATGAAAATAAATATTGTAAACTGAGAAATATAATTACTAAAAAAAAAACTACAAATTAAGGTGCCCGTCCAGCTTGAGCTGCTTGGGCCGCGATAAAGCATGGTAAGCAATCTGTGTGCTGTTAGTAGTTCCGATAATAATGTCCAGAAACCGCTTCAACGAAATAAACTAGAGTAGGAATTAGCTTTCGACATTTGCGCACAGATCCTGCATTACGTTCGGTTGTTTCAATATCTCGTCCACCTGAAAAACATATGGGACACTTTGACCCCGTACTGCTCTAAGAAAGGAATTTGTCGTATGGAGCGGTACGAGATCAATGTATCCCGTATGATTTTTGGCGTAAATAATGATTTACAACAAAAACATAAGCACATTGGTATAAATAAAATTTTTATATCTCAAATAATACGAACAATAGAGGCTTTGCCCCATGGGAAAATGTAGCAAATATGACGCCGCACTGTGGGTAAACACAATACGGAACGTATATGCCCCATACCGCAGCGAAGGTGTTAATAGTTTTTTTTTAAACTTTTGTTAGGAAGTAACGCACCGTCATGAAATTGATGGAATTCTTATATGAACGCCAACCTTAATATTTGTTAGTAATCGTAATATCAAATATAATAACTTTTGAGAAGTGAAATCAGTTGATTTGACGTTTTGTTCAAAATTTCTTTCCAAGGGAACCACGGCTGACTAAATTGAGAATGATGTTTGACATGAAAGATAAATATTGTTCATGCCGTTCTCTGTAGTCTTGACATTTGTAAATGAAATCATATCATGCACGAATAATTTTCATTTCATATTATTTTCTTTAAAAAAGTGTGGTGATTAAAGAACGATAACAAATTTATAGGCAGCGAGGTAAGAATGATCAAAGAGAATGTTTTTTTACGATTTTTGTAAACGTTTTAATAAATATATAGCGTATAAATGTAAGGTTCTAAATGAAAATTTTTCTAATTAAATTCCACCTTAAAAGTTGCAATTGCGAAACGGTTGATGTTTCAACTATATTTAGGTTACTTTTGTATATTGCATTGCATGAATTGAGTTTCTGACATTAAAAAAGAACTGTGATTCTACATGTCTCTAATTTGCATGCATCGACTTTGTAAGAAATTGCCTTGAAATGATTAGAAATAACTAGAATTAATACTTTTAAATTGTCAATAGTGAAATTAAAAATTTTTACATATGAGTCAATGAATCCTAAAAAGCGTAAAAATTTTTGGAACCTCCAGAACAGACTCAATTTCGATTTTTTTTTTTTAAACATTTTTTTTGGTTCGAACGCAACCGTCGATTGAGTTCTCAAACACAATTGACGAATTAATTTTTCAAGAACACGTTGCGAGATTATAACAACCTATTGAACTGGTAGAGTGTAATTCACTGATTCTGAATTAGTTCGTGGAAGAACCAAAACAAGCGTTTCTAAAAAACTACCTATGTATTGCTTTTTTCTTGGTAACATTTTTACAATTTTAATTTCTTACTCCAATTGACCATCTTGTTTTATTGCATTTGGCAACACCTTTTTTATAGAAATGTTTAGTGTCGACAAAAATATTATTTTTCAATAACTCTGAAGATCGAAAAAAATTAACTATAAACAACACATTTTTGTTTGTGACGTCAAAACATAGTGACACGTATTTGTTTCAAATACACAAAAGTTACCATGACAACGATGTCAGATGTCAGTCTTATCTATCATACTGTCGTAAAAAAATACTTTACAATTGTTAATATCTGTGATGTCAAAACAAATTTGGTGACACGTATTTGTGTCTGTAAAAACAAGTTACCATGACAACGATGTCAGATGTCATTCTCATCTTTCATACTATTTTAAATACTTAAACGAATATTTTTGGGTTTTGAATATTAATAAATAATAAAGCAAAAAGATTAGATAATGTACTTATTTTCTTTTTGGGAGTTGAATAAGGTTATTTTTTGTGCCTTTACAGTCTAAAATTATTATTCTAAAATAAAACTTCATAGCAAAATTGTCAGTAAATTCAACACATAAACCTAAACCTTAGTTACAATTTTGATAACGACAGCATTGACAGCCCCGTTGTTATGGTTACTTTTTTTAGAGGCATTACTAACGAAAAATAAATTAGTAATACTTTTTAAAGACTAGAACGGTGCAACATTTCGGGCAAATTTTTCCGAAAATGTTACACAAAGATGACGATCAGGATTTCTTTGTAAAAATAAGGATTTTCGTAGAATTTTTCAAATTTCAATGAACTAATTTTTTAATATGTGTATTGAAATTTTGGATCGAAATGAGAATTTGTGGTGTTTTTTATATTAAACTAAAAATTTACGAATCCAACCAGTCTTTAAACGAAAATGCAAATGATAACGACGAAAAGTTTGCTCTTAACTTTACAATCTCTCCAGGTTATAAGAATGAAATATATAGATATGGTGTTTAGATTGCAACATAAAAATTTAGTTGCTATTGCTGATCAATTGCATAGGTTGAGCAAAAGTTTGAAGAAAGCAAGGCCCGCGTAAGCACTTTCTGTCAATCCAGAAAATATTCCTCTTAAGAACGAAATATACCAGCGTACAAAAGAAGAAGCCCGGAAGTATAATCTATTGGAAATTTGTCAGTGTTGTTGCGAGGAGGAATTGATACCTGAAGAATGCTATTTTTGCATGAAAGACTTCGTTTTATGTAAAGACTGCATTAAAAGAGGTGTAGCATTTCGCGTTAACCAGGGTGATACAAAATTTCCTTGCTTGTCAAATTACACTTCGCAACAAATAATGCCTTATCGAATCTTGTAGAAAATGTCGACATGGCTGCAATAAAATGACATGTATTTGTGGAGGAAACATGTCGTTACCTGTATGGAGCAACCATTAACGATTACAATCATTTTAGCTAGTTGTTTAGCAACGATGCTGAAGTGAATTTGAGGAGAATTTTAAATGGTGCCAACCAAGCTAAAAATTAATTTGGCAATGTTAAAATCAAATTTGATCCTACTACAAATATCCAGTTTTTTAATTCTGTTGTAGGTTAATTATGTTATGTGATAAGTAATGATTGACTCACAATATTTTATTTCACAATGTGTTAATCCTATAAACAGGATGTTATTGAATGCATGAATTTAATACTAAAAGTGGTGCCATTTATTTTTTGGACTCCATACACACTTGTCTGTATGTACATATGTACAATTAGACCGTGTATATTTACCTATTTTAAGGTGTAAAACTAATATTATTTTTTGTGTCAATGTTTTTTATTTTTTCATATACTTTCGATTCTTATAAATGGGATCTTGTAAAAGAATATTCGATTTTCCTTAAAGCAATGTTTTACAATTTCTGTTGTAATTTCAATTTTTAAAGCACAATAAAATAAGGCTAAAGAAGTAAGGAATGGAAATTAAATAAATATTCCACCCCTTTCACTAACACAGAATAATCTGCCATATTGAATATGAAAAAACTTATGAAAAATGAGGGTCTACCAATCCATCTCGATATTAATAGTGCAAATGATAAGCAGCTCCCATCTAGAAAATCGCCCACTAGTTCTTCTATAAAGGCCCAAGAACACTACATAGAAGAATGAAAAATAACAAATTATAGAACTTAATCAAATTTTGCCACACTTCTGTTCAATATACTTTCTTGCTCTAATTATTGATTTTGACCATTTAATCATAAATAGAACTATCATAAAAGAGCAAGATGTATTGAGTGGTCAATTTAATCATATACCTAGTTATATTTTTTCTTTGCGTGGGTATTGTCAGTGCATCAACTATTTTGTTTATCCTCGCGGTCTGCGTAAGCTTTGTTACTGTTTGCTAGGACCACTTTAGGAACAACACTGTGAGGTTGAGTGGGTAATTCTAACAAGGCATTGAAATTAACTAAAAAAAATCGATTCTGTTCTTAAAGGTTCCCAAATAAGACTCGCATTTAATCAATGTTATCAAAAGCTTTTCCTCTCTTCAAATTGTAGAATTAAAGTAAAATTTTTTACGTGAATGACAATAAATAAACTATTGGATAGAAAACGTAAATCAAAACATTGAATATTATTTCAAGGTGATTTTAAAAGTTATTCGATTTTTTTAACGAATGTAGAATTTCCTCCGGTTTTCGTTTGATTATATAAAAAACAAGACTGGTCAAATAGAGTGTGCAATTTTTAGGGACTCTTGATTGACATTTTTAGACTCATTTTTAACGAGAGTGGCATCGGTTATTGATTTTTTTAGCCATATTATATAGTGACATAGTAAATTTAAGCTTATGGACGCTTTGTGACATGATTCTGTCCTTAAAAATCTAAAAGAATTGAATATTGTACATCAAACTATATGTGGATATTTCTCAATATAACTTATGAACATTGCCAAAAAAATGTCTTTGATTTTCCTAGTTGAAAATATGCAAATGTTCAACAAAAATGGTCCAAAAAACTAAACGATGCAGCTATAATGGAAAATAGGTAAGAAATGTATTTTTTAACTTTTTAAAATCACAGATTGCTTTCCACAACACAAAATATCACTCTTGAATATTTCATGGCTTACTCGCTTCTTATTTGGTAAGTTAATAAATTCAATTAAACTTCCATATTTTTATTTTAAATCCTTTACATATTAAATTATAATAAAATATTTAACAGCTTAATACAAACTTATTTCAGACTTATTTTTTTTTAATATTTATATTTCTTCGTCAGCTTCTTGATCTAGGGTATCTTGCTTGAACAGCTCTACATCAGCTTGGCTGTCAGCGTGAATGAATTTTCCTTTGACGTCCGGCTACAAAAAAAAAAAAATGTTATTATAAGTAAAGAAAAAATCCCCAAAAGTTCGGTAAAGTTCACGGTCCATAGACTTACGGTGGCCTCGTCGTTCGTTGCTAAGGAAGACTGTGACGTCACGGAATGCAAAATCGAGTTGACAGAAAATATTCTGCTGCGGTTCGTACATTAGTTTTTTTTTTTAAATCTAATATTAATAATAAGTGGTGTTTTTATTTTTAGACTATACACCTGCGTTGGAGTTCTTATAAAATCGTTAATTTGATTTTTTAAAAGACAAGCCACAAAACGGCATGGAAAAATCGTGTAATGATTTCCATCAAATTTCAAATGAATTACTTTTTATTTGAATTATAAAGAGAAATATTATTGTTTGAATGGTTTATTGCTAAATTCGGATCACACTTTGATTATATCCCGAAATATTTGAAATTTTGGCAAGCCGTTAGTTGGAAAACAATTTTTACTGTTTACACACAAAAATCGTTAGAATAAATAAACTGAAATTAAAGACTAATGGTAAGATTTTAGGTAATTATTCTGCAAATATCATTCACCATTTTTAAATTAATTGCAGTTTTGTCCACCCTACATTTAAAAGCAGACGAGATGGTTTCTTACAAACATTAAAAACAACAAAGAGCAAAAAAGTTAAAGGGCTTTACTAAAAGAACATACATTTTTAAAAAAACGATTTGCTACAGAAAGTTTTTAGTAAAAAGTACATAGTTACAAATCATTTTTTTTAATAGAGAAGATGTGACTATTGCGGAACAAATGATAAATACTGATCTATCTGCTCTTATTGAAGTGTCAGAATCATGATTTGGTGCTTAATGAAGCGAAATCACATATGATTCCCTTTGGTAACATTGCCGCTAATGATTTAGTGATTAAAATAAGTAATAATAATTTAAATATTATCGAAAAAAATAAGAACTTAGATGTAATTATCGATTCAAATTTAAGATGCACATACCATGTTTCATTTATATTACAGAAAGCTTACCCTAATCTCAAATTTCTTTATCCAAACAGGAATAAGTATTAAATTAAAAAGTAATCTTTGCGATGCTCTTGTACTTTCCCATGCAAATCATTGTGACTACGTCTACGACCCTTGCTTAACTTTAGTTGATAAAATAAGATTGCAAAAACTTCAAAACTCGTGTCTTAGGTTTATTTTTGGTATAAGAAAATATGATAGAATTAGTCACACACTCTCTCGAAATCGTTGGTTATCGATGGCTAATAGAAGGAAGTTGCACTCCTTAACTCTCTTTCACAAAACTGCAACTAAGAGTGTACCTCCATACTTATCAAATAAAATTAGATACAGATCAGATATACATAATATTAATATTAGGCAAAATAATTTTTTAACAATCCCACAACGTATATGGCTACAATGTATAATAACTTACCAAAAAACTTAAATTCAAATACATTTATAAAGAAAATATTTAATATTTTATTCAATGAGCAATGCAGTACTAGTGATTTTGTGCGGCAATTTCAATGAACGTTTTGTTTTTGTTCTGGGCTGTTTATTTATTTATTGAGGCACTTGAGGAAGAACAGCAATGCTGATCCTGCGCCTTTTAACTAACATTTATATAACTATATATTATTATTCCGGCTACATACTTAATTTATTATTTATTTGTGTATTTTTTTTTTTTTTTTTTTTTTCGGTATATACAGTATTATTTATTTTATTTTTATATTTGCATTTATTCTCTGTTGGATGTTAGTTAATAAAGACATTTAAAGTAGAAAACAAGAGCCTTTTAGAGTTGAGAAGAAGTTTGTAAAGCATTCAAGAGAAGATATTTGAGTAAAAGGTGTTATGTAAACCGTACATGCTAACAGTAATTGATGAATTCTCTAGGTTTCCCTTTGTTTTTCATGTATCCGCACGGCTTCATCTGAAGTAATTAATCATTTGTGAGAATTATTCCTCATCTTCGGTACTCCCTCCTATATCCATTCTTACAATGGTACATCTTTTATTTCTCATGGACTGAAATTGAGCCAATGGGAGAGAGTACTACCAGAAGCGCTTCATTCGATTCACTCATTACTATGCACTGCCACCAATGTAACTCCTAATGAAAGAATGTTCAACCACCCCCGACGTTCTTACAGTGGATTATCTAGACCTACATGGTTAACATCACCTGGACCTGTTCTACTTCGTAAATTTAATAATTGTGAGACTCATCAGATAAATCCTGAGTCGAGAAGATCAATGCGATTAAGAAGAACCCCGACCTTTCTAGATGATTATGTAAGATTTTAAAGGTGGGAAGAATGTAGTGATAATCAGTGAATGTACTTACATATTTAGTCAGTTAGTTACTTAGTTATTGTATGTCAAATTGTATTTATTTCATTGTAAAAGTCGCTTTCTGTGTATTAAAAACTTAAGAAAGGTTTTTACAGAAATACTCAAAAGTATCCCTTGCTGGGGATTTCAACTTTACAAAAGTGCGCTGCTAAAATAAATCTGAGATATGGTCTTGATGATTTTTTTAAGTACTCCAAAAATATGTAATATCTCCTCTGTGTATTACATGTATATAAACAAAATAGATAAAACTGTTTTTCTCTAATTTGGTACCTATATTTATAGATTATTGTAATAAAACTGGGTTGTTGTTGTTGTTTTATTGTTTTTTTTAAGTATACTGTTCATACATCCTAGAAACTGACAATAGTATATTAAAGTATAAGTGGATATAACGGTCTTTAAAACACGCGCGATTTTTCGAGCAAGTGTTTTAAAGACCAGTTATCCACAAATACTTTACGCTATTTTTTTTATTGGTATACTTTGAAATCCTAAATATTGGTATTATTTCTACAAAAAAATGGAAATAAGAACTAATAACTGAAAATGGTTGAATTTGTGATGTAACATCAGTATACCTCGTTGTCATGAAAATGAGACAAACAAAAATTTATTTTCAATCTGTCACGTAAGATTAATTATCGCAACAGTTGTTATTGTTTAAAATGAGTTCAAATATTGAGTATTTAAATAATAAAGCAGAATCGCGCTTAATACCACAAAAATCCGAAGCGGTTTATAAAAAAGAATACGATAAATTCAACACGTGGATGGAAGAGCAAATGGTTACACATATAGATGAACGAGTTGTTCTCGCTTATCTCCAGAAAATGTCGGAACAGTATAAAGTATCGACTATGTGGACTAGCCATTCAAAATTACAAAGTATGTTGAGGATAAACAAAGGGGTCGATATAAAATCGTTCGTCAAAGTGCATGCATTCATGAAGGCAATTAGCAAAAATAAGGTAGTCAAGAAGGCATATGTATTCGAGGAAGACGATTTGCGGAAGTTTTTTACAGATGCACCGGACATTACGTATTTATTTTTGAAGGTGGTTGCTATTTGTGGTATCTTTGGCTCTTGTAGATGTGAATTGTGCGATTGAATAAATTTTTTGAAAAATTTCTCAGAAATATTTTATTTGACATTACAAGGCACTCCTGTCAGATCAATATTTAAAAAGTTGGCATTTAGACATCACGTTTCTGGGGTTGTTGATGTTGCCATGGTAACTTTAAAACGCGCGTTTTTTAAAGTTCGTTTTAAACACGCTGAGGCGTACTTTAAATAAGTAAAATAGGGTACCAATAAAAAAATATATATTTTTTATTTGATATATACATTTTGTTTCTTCTGAATTCCAATGGGTCCTTGTTTTCTTCTATAAAATTATTTGTAACTACTTTTTACTAAAAAGTTCCTGTAGAAAACACTTTTTTTCAATAATGTAGGTTCTTTTAGTAAAGCCCTTTGACTTTGCTTGATTTTTGTTGTGTTTAATGCTTGTAAGAAACCATGTCGTCTGCTTTTAAATGTAGGGTGGACAAAGCTGCAATTAATTTAATAATAGTGAACTATATTTTCAGAATAATACTCGAAAATCTTACCATAAGCCTTTAATTTCAGTTTAGGCTCTGATCCTGTATTACTTCTATCGAACTTTTGGCAGGCAACAGCAACACTACGGCTAGCTACAGGCTTGCCAACATTTCAAAATATTTCGGGATATAAACAAAGTGTCATCCGAATTCAGCTCTTAAGTCGTACCATAATCCAAAATGTTTAAAATAAACGATTCACACAATAATATTTCTCTTTATTATTCAAATAAAAAGTTAATCATTTGAAATTTGATGGATATCATTACCTTACTGTTTTGTAGCTTCTTTCAAAAAATCACACTACCGATATTATTAAAACTAACACCAGAACAAAGTTCAAAAATATAAACACAACTAAAACAATAAAATATTAGATTTTTTAAAAAAATAATTCTCGAGACAGGAATGAAACTTCCCACCGAGGTTTGTATACTATTTTATTTACAACCATCATATTTCGATCAAAGTTAATAAATCTCTGTTTTGTTCTGAACATACCTAAAATATTACATTTAACGACAAATTACCAAGCGCGCGGTTTTCTCCGAATAATCAAGTAAATATATTGTTACCGTGATTACGGGGTAAACAATTGTCACCAATATAAATAAATGTCAGATAAAGTCGGATATTAAATTCGCAAATTATAAATATCAATAAGTAGTTTGTTGTATTTTAGTTCATTGTTGTTTTTTATTGTTTGCCATTAAATAGGTATTATAAAATTTGTCAAAAAAATGTGTTACTTTTTTAAATATAAAAAATATTCATCTAGAATAGATGAAATGAGGGCGGGAAGTAGAGGTGTGTAATGTGGCACTTCCCAACCTTCAATGAAATAAATAAAATATTTTCTGTCAACTCACTTTTTCATTCCGTGACGTCACTGCGCCTTTAGTAACCGTGATGAGGCTACCGTGGTGTCTACGAACCGTGGATAAAGTTATACTTCTTCCGAAACAAAAAAGGTGCGTTTTTTAGGGATACTTAGAGCCACTTTACAATTTTGCTTGCAGATAAACGGGTCGATAACTTAAGTCAAGGAAAGAAATCTTTATTTTCTCGAAAAATAACTTTTTAAGCGACTGTCATAAAAAATTAAATTTTACGGATTTATTAACATCCCCAAAGTGTCACATTTTTGGACGCATTACTTTACAGCCGCATTTACTTTAGGGTCGCTGTATCTAGGAGAATATCAAATAGAAGAGGGAAATTTACCTAACTTGAAGCCACTTCAAATCCTACCCTTCCTTGAAAAAATAGGATTGGAAGGGTCGTTATAGGCATTGAGACATTTCCTTGGTGCATAGGCGAAAGAAGGGGGCACAATAGATCTTTTAGGTCGCAGTGTATTAACTCCCCATTCCCAACATAGGATCGCTTTTTATAAACACAGGTTTATCATGCTTCTGTACAAATTTTATTAGTTAACGATAGATTTTTATTCGATTAATATAAATTGACTCTACTTGATGAGACAGTCATATTGGCTCTACTTGATGAGACAGTCGCCTAAAAAATATGTGCATCTCGGCCCTGTGATCTTTTCTGGTCTAACCAGAAGGTGTTTGGCCTCGGCTAACGCCTTTGCCGCAAAATTCTGATTCGGCCAAAAAAGATCAATTTACGGCTTTGGTCAGAGACAATTACCTTTAGTACACAAATAACTATTAGAGGTGTAAAGCAGTCATAGTACATAATTATATACATAAATACAAAATACACAATAAACATATTTTTTACATAATATACTTTTTTATAACAAATATTATTTTTGTTTTTAATAATCAATATTTTATTTAATTAATGCAAACTTATTTTGCCCACCGCCCACTTTGAGAATAAACATTTGTGTAGCGCCCCCAACATTTTTTAAGTATACTGTATCTGAGTAAGTATCTAAAAAACACCTGTAATTGAACATAAACAAAAAAAAAATAGAACCGACTTCAAAAAATTCACTAAAAAAAGTAAAAAATAATTAATTTTATTACAGTTTAATGAATAATAAATAAATTATTTATCCTGTCTGGCATAGGACCAACTTGGAGAACTCCCACACAAAATGAGCCCAAAAACATTAAAATCCATCAAGTGGTTCCCAGGAAATTCGCCAACATACATAAAAAAAGGTCTACGACGAATGTAGAAGCTCCTTTTTTTGAAGTCGTTTAGGACATTACGATGAAGATATCTTATTTCTGAGCTTAAATAAGAATGTTTTTTTTTTCTCTGAAAGGAATAAATAAAAAAGGATACACACTTAATCACATTTAAAAAATATTTTTATTGATATTTAAAGAAAGCTTTGAATATTAACACTTAACTCTTAACTAATGTGAGGGATGAATCTGATGCACTTTAACGAGTTTAGCAATATTGGGCTCAAAGTCACTTAAAATGTCCTGGAATCGTTCATAGAAGGAGCGACATGCATAGCGACTGATAAAATATTATTCAAACATTTTTCAGTGTCTTAAATATAGATTCTCCTTTTATATATGTTTTTAAGTTTTTGGCAAAAAATAATTCTTAACATATTTTCTCATCTTTTATAAACCTCACGTATGCCAACAATAACGCTTCATTAGTTGGTAAAGTGGACTCATCCAGCTGAATTGAAAATTGACCATGTCTTCAGATAATTACACAATGAGTCTTCTATGTCTTTAGCCGTTTCATCGATTCGTCTTTGCACGGAACTATTGCTCAGAGAAATTTTTCGGATAATGTCTGCCGCTGGTTTGTGGAGCACAGTGGTTACGACACTTCTTTTACTGTCGGTAAAATTAAATCTTCCCCAATAGAATGTGGTTTTCCTGATTTAGCAATTAACAATAAAATATTGTGCATAGCCTGTAGTCCGTCGTCAGCTTGTCGAGAAGAGGTTGAAAAAAGTTTTGATATAATGAGCTGAGCCTACGTGTTTCTTTTTCAGTTCTTGAAAATATGTCACATTTGTCTTTCTTATCCGGATGTATTTTATTCAAATGTTCTTTCAATCTCGAAGGTTTCATGGCTTCATTTGAAAATAAGGCACATTGGCGATGATGGATTTGTAGGATTTTCGATAAATCCATATTTAATATATTCCGCACTATACTGCCGTTTCTTCTTTCTTGCCTCTGACATGATCGGCACACTACGTCAGTAAAAAAGAACAAATAACTATTTATTTTGGAAGCGCGTGTATCTTTAGAAAACTGCTACCGATGCCGAAATACTAATATGAAAATAAAACAAAGCCACCCTACCCTGCCTTATAAATATATTGGAAATGCAACTCATACGACAGGAATTATCTGTCGGTGAGTTATGACAGATATTCCTATCTATTCGTGCATGATTGCCGGCGGAATAAATTTATTTGGATTTCGCCATGATAGAACAGTAAGTAGCAGTGGCGAATCGTTAGAATTCAAAATATTTTCAATTATTATTTTGTGATTTTGTGAGCTTCAAGAAAGAAATTTACACAACTTCATATATATAGTAATTATTAAAGTATTAATTAAAAACGCATAAATATAAAACTGTACAACAATAACAAACCCGTCGTCGCGACGAATTTGTCTACATAATTTAACTAAAAAGTAGAAATTAAAATAAAATGTTTTTTAAATTAAACGATTTTATTAAAAAAAATGCACTAAAAAGTAAAAATAATTTAACAGATCCCTGTTGAGTAAAAAAACAGTGATAATGGCATAGTATTATTTTTGTGGTTTGGCCTATCATCGCAACACGATTTTATATCGAAAATATGCCATTAAAACTGTTTTTTACTCAACAGGGATCTGTTAAATATATTTTTTACTTTTTAGTGCATTTTTTTAATAAAATCGTTTAACTTAAAAAAATATTTATTTTATTAGTAAATTTAATTGGGTGTTCACTGCTCAAATGTACCAATTGAGAAACTACTACTGGTAGGTAGGTATCTACTTAATTTTAGTTTTAATACGGGAAGCAAATTAGGTATCAAAACAATTTTATTTATAGAGCTGCCAAAATATGTATTAAAACATAATTTTTCAATATGTGTCACCGCCATCCTAGACCGCCTTAACACCCCCATTTTCCCCAGGGCCTTTCACCGCTCCCCTGAGGGGCGTTATCGCCCACTTTAAGAACCACTGAATTACTGCATCACAGAAGAATTCGTCTAAGTTGTAATATGCTTTATCACATCGCATATTATTATTATTATTCACTTAATAATTGCCATTAATTTAATAGGAACTATAAATTTAACACCTTTAGATACACCTTAAGCAGTATGATGTACGTATATTTTTAATTGCATTGAAACACAAACCCTTGGATATCTCAATTTAAGTATAAATGGACTTTCAAAATAAACGGCTCATATTATCTATTCTGCCTGTTTTGGTTACTCTTGTAGCTTCAAAAACTAGCTGTTTAAAATTATTATAAAAGTGGCGCATGGAAGGCAAACTATGAACTGTAAAGTGGCTCTTAAAAAAGGGAATTTCGTGTCACTTTTAATATACTTACTTTTGGATGCATTAAAACGAAGGGTAATTCAGCAGCAAGTTCACCTCCAAGTGCTCCAAGGTACAATTTGACTTTTACAGCATACGATACAATAATACCAAAAGCGTCCCTTTGATCAGGTGATGCTAATCTACAAAAATACTGAGTTGTAAATTTGACTACAAGGTTATAAAACGTGAAAATGTCAGTAAAATTACCAGAGAAGGTATTAATATTTCAATGTTGAACTTATTTTCAACTTACAACGTTGTAGAAGCCAAATTAGTGTCTTGCTTTTTAAGTTGGCCATCTAAAGCAATACCTCGTCTGTCTTTATTGGACGAAAGCAACGGTAGGAGATAAATCACTTTCTGTAAACTTGAACCTGGTTGAATCGGACAGCCTTCTCTTAAAAGTTACAGAAAAAAATCAGTTACGCTATTACTTATGGAATAATAAACTTACTGAGTTTCCATGCTGGCTACCGATGTTCTGTACTGTCCATTTTGAAATAAAACAACATCTACTCCCTGCTGTACCATCGCTTTGATTTTCTTTACAACTTTATTGCTGTTATTTCTTATACAAATGTTAACAGCAATTTTTTCGCCATGATGATAAAGCTAAAAGACAAATAATACTGGAAATATGTGCTTCAATTCTGTCAAGTTTTTAGTTACCTGTTTGTCCAATGTAACTTCGAGTTCAAGTTCTCCAGGACTCATCATGAAGTCTTTGCGGACTACTGTACATGGTTGTCTTCCTTGCTTAGAAGGAGCGTATTGAACTTTTCTTATGCCCATAGTGACGGTTCCTCTTTTGTGAGTGCGGTCGGTTTCATTTTCTCCTACGAAAATTTTGATGTAGTAGTGGACCCCGCACGGTTGACCTTCATCATCGGTACCTAAAAAAGTATTCATAAAAATATTTTCAGTATAATTATTCATAAAAATTTTAAATTACCAGGCTGCAGAGTCACTGAAGCAGGTGCACTTGGCGGTAACGTAAAGGTAAACGGATAACAATTTTCTCCCAACTTTTTCAGCAATCTATCCTGCATTTTGGTATTGACTGACTTTTCAGGTGGTGGATAGATCTGTTCGGATGCCAGAAAGAGATCTTTCTGGAAATTTAGCCCCATTACTTCGTCTTCTTCTCGGCCATATCGAAAACTGCAAATTACTTGACCGAAAATTTTGCGATCTTTGTATTCGTTGTCTACTACAACGACACCGTCTGAAAACAAAAATATCTTTAGGTTTAAAAATCGAAAATGTTTACTTTTATATAGAGTGTCTCTCAAAAACTTTGGGACATATTCTGTGACTTTTAAGTCACGGTTTTAGATGGTTTTGGTCTTCATCAGTAAGTTGTAAGTGTAAAAAAATCTTGCAATACAAATTTCGTGATAACTTTTTGGAGCCTACGCTGAAAACTTTAATTTTTAATAACTCTTATGGATTATCCACAAAAAAATTAATATAGCTTGGCATGTAATGCAAAGTTTATTAGTGAGATAATTACATTAATGTGGCCCCCTTTTTATTGAATGTACAGATTGATCATACACAAAAAATACGTGTGGCACTCGGGGACTGCCGCGGTAAAGCTATTGCATAGCATTTTTTATCAACTTATGCAATTATAATTATTTATTTATTTTAATTATGCAGTATTTTTTTTTCTTTGATATTAATTCAAGTCACACTTTTTGAGCGTGGTGACCGATAAGAAAACAAATTTTTTTCTTTTATTGAATAAATGAGAAGTTAATATTGTTTAAAATATTTTTATTATCTTACAATACATGTAGGTTATTCAGGAATTTTTATCATTGAAACTATAGGTTTATGGTAACTGAAATAAGAAACATAAGTTTGAGACTTGATATCCTCTAAATATCTGGAAAATACCGCGTCAATTGTGGTCCCATATTTTGTTGTGGATTTTTGTGGATCATTATTCATTTTCAAATTCAATTTTTCCGAAATTGTGTCTAAAAGAGATAGAATCAGTTATGAGCAGTTAGTCTACACGCATATGTCTAGTCGCACGCACACAAACACCGTGCCGAAGTCTGCCGAACTGAAACGACGTTAGACGATGCACGGCTTTCAACGCCGCACCGCTGTGCCGGTCGGAGTTGGGGGTGTTAGGTTTATTTTCGTTACGGAATTTCGTTTTCGATTTTTCAATCTTTCAATTTTTCGGTTGTTTGATTTTTCGTTTTTTTGATTTTTCGGTTGTTCGATTTTTCGTTTTTTCAATTTTTCGAATTTTTGATTTTTCACCAACTTAGCAAATTTTTTTCTTAATTTATTAAGTTTACCTCATTCTTCAGCAAATGAAGAATATTTTCTCTAGTAAATTTGCTGAGGTAAAAGCAGCGTAATAAGCAGCCACTATTGAAGGTTTGCTCCATAAAAAAAAACCTCAAGATAATCATTATGCTTTTATTTAAAATGCAACAAAGAATTAATAGGGCATCATAAAAAAAACATGCATGCAACACAACGTATTTAAATGATTTAATTCAGACTGATCTGAAAGAAATACCTATTATTTTTCATTGTTTTTTTTTTTGTTTCCGGGCGTTAGGTATATGTTAAAAATTTTATTTTTCGTTTTTATTCTTTGTTTACTTTCTAATTTGGGTAGAAAAATGTTTATTTTTCGTTCCTTATATACTTGTTTCTTTTTTTTTTTATTAAAATCTACTGTTCAGATCTACTGTTTTTTTTTCACACACCTACTGTTTCATAAAATTTTCATCTGGCAACACTGCCCAGGATAGATCGAAAGAACTTTGGAACTACCATTTCTATAAAATATTAACTAATCACCTCGAAATATAAGTGCTAAGTGCCGCGCGACAGATAACAAACGCTACCCCGAGACCGATCCTCCGGTCGTCCACTTTGGTCTCTCGCATTGGTCGCGGCTTGCGAAATGTGTTTCATATAATTACATGTGTTCCGACGTGAAGAGACTGTTTTTGGTCTCCTTTGCCGTCGCTTCTGCTATCGTCTGTCGCGCGTTATGAAATGGTAGCTTTACACTACTATTAAAATACTATTTTACAAATTATTCTAAAAAAGACAGGCTATTTTCTACAAATAAATTGAACGATTAATCGAACATACTAAGCGTCAAATTACTTTTTGCTTATCAATGTATAACGAGAATATATACCAATTGAAAATTTGACTCAGAAAAATACCCGCTTAATATGCTCAAACACTAAAATGGAGATTCCTGTACAATATTTCATCCACTTGAGTTGTACAATATATTTTTTTCTACGACCCATTTACGAAAATCTACAAATTTAAAAATTATTTATGACCTTTACTAATTTATAAAATAAAAATGAAAAAAAAAAAAGATTTAATTTCACTAGTCCCCAGCCGAGATTCGAACGCGGGTCTCCCGCGTGCAAGATAGACACCGTCTCCTCACCTCCACCGTCAGAATTGGGATTTTTAGTTCTAATATTCGTAATTAAATTAGTTTCATATAGGTAGTTTGAATAAAATTTTAAATTTATTTTAAAATGTGGACGAAACAAAAATAGAAATGCTATTGTTTAATAATTCTACCCAAAAATAACTCATTTTAATGTATATTTTAATCTCTGTCAGTATATTTTTTAGTTTGACAGAATTGTCACTTTATTTCAAATTTTAAAAATAATAGTTGTTGCTTGACAAAAACATGAACTGTGATAGGTGGTTTTCATTTTTTTGAAATACATTCGTTCAGTGTTAAACGCAATAGCATACTTTTTCGTTTTGTAGTTTGAGCGCAAATAATCTAATATCCATGTGGGTGTAGAAAAAAAATATGAACGATCTAATGATAACAAAAAAAACTTATAAGGAACACGCGCTTCATCGTTTTTGTCAGCCTTTCCTAAAGTAAGTATATCTATTTTTTTATTGATCTGTTTATTCTGTCCAATGTCTTCTTGTTCTTTTTTTTTTTTTTAATATTGTTTCTTTAGTTACGATAATTGATGAATTATAAGTATACTTCAATATGTGTCTCTAAAAAAGTGTACATAAATAAAACCATCTGATTGAGTAGAAGCAAAACAGGCAGAAATGCCTAGGTTCGATGCTCAATCAGACGTCTTTAAATAACTCTAATTTTACTATTAGGTAATGTATTTTAATATTTAAACAAAATAAATTTCAAAATTTTATATTCTCACGCTTCTTCGATAATTTACTTCGCAAAGTCCGAGAACCAGCAACATATTAGTTTGTTTTTAATAATATATAGCAGCTGTTATCGTTGATAAACTTAATAACAAACTCAAACAAAAAAAAAATAAAGATATTAAAACCCCAACACAATTGTTTGACATGAAACTAACGAATTAGTACATTACATTACGAGTGTGGAAAATCATTTTTCACACAAGTGATATACAATATTTTTCCTACGACCACAAAATAATTTCATCAAAAAATGTAAAACCAGGTTTATTATAATAATTAAAATGTATTTAAAAAAATAATCAACAATAATCGTATTTATTCAATTTTCATATTTTCTAAACAAAAAAAAAAAATAAAAAAAACAAAAAAAAATGTCTCAAATGGCAAAGTTGATAAGTTTGACGCTGTAACCAACTGAGCTAACAGGCCTTGCGTCAATTGAATGATCTAATCGGTCATGTGTTTAACCAGAATAAAAAACAAACATTTAGTTATTTTAAAATTATTTTAATAATAATTTAACAATAATATCGATTTTAGTATTAATATGGACATTACATAGATCAAAATAGAAATGATGTTTCTGACATTTTGTGACAGCTGCTGCGAAAAGTAGCATATTCGTACACGGGTGGAAAGTAAATTATTATTCATACGCGTGTGATATAGGGCACTTTCCATAGGACTATATAGTGTGATATATGTCACTTTCCTAAGTGATCGTAGGAAAAATACTGATTTGACCTTTAAAGGGTATTCCGGCTAACTAGATTAATCCTATAAAAATGCAAAGTTATCAGATCAGATTTTATTTAAGAGTTACAAAAATTACAAAGATACAAAAAATATTTTTGGAAAAAAATGAATATTTTCACCGAAGATTTTTGTTTAATACACTAACAACTCACAGATGCAAGACCAAAACCATATCAAAACGTGACTTGTATTGAAAGTTTTTAAATTATCATCCTGTATACATTAGGTATACCACTTAAAAAAAAATAATTCTTACCAACTGGTTCTACTCCAGAAATGTGATCCACAAAATCTCTCTTTCCCAAATACATGGTAAGTTTTCCATTTGGGGATTGTTTTTTGAAAACGCGAAAGTTGAAAACCATTTTGAACAATCGATTTTCGCACCTCTCGACTGAAAATGTTATGAACTATTCCCTAATTGGGCTCAGTCATCGACTTTATACCTTCCTTGTAGGGTTTCTCTAATTCGATTACAATACACGAGCTCCCACGTAGCGGCCTATTTTTGAAATTTAATGAGATTTGCCATTTCTAAAGAATATTAGTTGGAAAAGCCAAAAGCGTAACTGCTTAAAATAAGGTATTTTGAATAAAAATTCTTCAATGTCAATAAAACTAAGAGAAGCCGAGAATATTAAAAATAATATAACTTTCAGACATTAATAATAAAAGTACTCCTATAAACCTAGCGCTTTATTTGTCTGTATAACGGTCTTTTTTAATCTAATTTCACTAATTGCATAATAATCTGCAAAAATATACAGGGTGGCCTAATATTTCTCTTATAAGAAATGAGAAAATTTAGAAAAAAGTTATAAGGTTTACTTCTGCATATTTCTAAAATACTGCTAAATATACAGGGTCACAGGGTGTTCCGTTACATCTGGGCAGCTTAAATGTCGATATTTTTAAATGATGTTGTCAATTTATGGTAAAAAATGTAAAAAAAAATTGTTCATGACAAGTATTATTAAAAAAACTTTGTTATTGACAGTTAAGTTAAAATATTTGGTAAATACAGAGAGATAAGGGTTAAATGAAACATCTGAGGAGATCACAAGTTTATTTTTATGTACAGATGATTTTATACAGAGGTACCAACTTGCTAATCTTTAAACATGTAAAACTTTGTTTTTCAAATCGAACACCCAGTATATTATTTCACATTTTGTCATTATAATATAGACTCTAAAAGTGATAACTTTTGATAATTTTTTATTTTAAATGATAAATTAAAAATAATAAAACACAAAATACTTCCAAGCACTAATGGGCCACCCTGTATAGCAAAGTACGACATTACTATTGAAAAATAAACTTCCCAGGTTTTAGACTGTAGGAAACAGAAAAATTACAAAAGGCCAAATAAGGTGAATGAGGAGGGCGAAAGTCAAATAATTACCTGAAGACCTGTGTTTGGACAGTTTTCCGGCAAATTAGCGAATGCTTCCAGCACATATCTACCACTGACTTAGTTTTATAAGTACACGTGTCTCTTTTTAAACAGAAAAAGAAATTGAATCTATAAAGGCTTTGGAATAGTTTTCCACTGCTTTCTGCATTTTTTATTTAACACTCTATATATTTAATCTTAGATTCTGTAAGTTTGGTAATTATGTTGCTATGTTATTGTTGGGTATGGGGTGTTAATGTACTGGGACCTAAACTATCTATTGTGTCCCCTTCTCTCGCTAATGCATCGAAGAAATAGTCTCGATGCCTATAACGACCCTTTCAATCTTATCTTCCCAAGGAAGTGTATGATTTGGAGTGGCTTCAAGTTAGGTAGATCAACCCCTTCTATTTGGTATGCGACTAAGTATAGTGCCCTTGGATTCTGGAGTGCTACACATTCAGTCAGAATGTGAATGGAGGTTTCATCCTCCTCTTTACAGAATTTGCACTCACTATCTTTTAATACTCTGTTTACTAAGGTGTCCTTTGAGCCGGCAATGCCCGGTAAGGATCCCTATTACAATACATAGCCTGTTCTTGTTTAATCTGATACATGCTTCCAATATTTCCCGGTTATATTCACCCAGAAGTATCTTAGACTTTCTTAAACCCAAGAGATTGTTTCAATTATCGGTTCTTCTACTGCCCAATTCTTTTTGAATCTCTCCTAATATTGTGTTACTGCTGATACCGCAGAACGACCCAGGTCCCACAAAGGGTGTTTGAGTCCCTTTCCTTATACCACAGAATGGCTTGCCTTTCGGTTGCAAGCACGATGGATTCTTGGCTCCATTCTTTCTTGCAGCCCAGTTCTGTGGATTTGAAATTTTTCACAAAACTACTTTCTCATTTTATGTTGGGGCATATCCCAAGTATCTTCGGTCCTAAAGCTAATAGACTTTTATCTGATTACTCCGTTCCTGATCGTTCCCTATTAAATGTAGAGGGGTAATGTTTAAAATCACCTCCATTGCGGCCGTAAGAAAGGTTCTCATTGCATCAGTGATGCAAAACGGGCTTATAGTCTTTGTAATTTTTGCGATATTAGCTCTCGTAGTAGCTAAATTAGTTGATACTCCAGGCTACAGTCTCATAAGTGATGATTGGTCTCACTATTGTTGTATACATCCACCGAAGGAAGTTCGAGAGATATCCCCATCTTTTACCCGCAATGTTTCTGCATACCATTAGAGCTTTTGTGGTCTTATTTAATAATTCCTTCTCATATATGTGCCAGAGAAGTTTGTTGTCCAGGGTTAGGCCTAGATATTTGACTTCTTTTTCCATTCTGTATCTATCCCGTCTAATTTGACGGTTTTATGATTTAGATTTCTCTTCCTTGAAAAGGCCACTAGTATTGTTTTTGTGGAGATTATACTAAGTCCCTCCTCTTGGCACTATCTTTCGGTGTATTCTAGTTCTCTTTAGACTATATCGCACATGATATTTCCAAACATGCCTCTAGCAAATATGACTATTTCGTCGGCATAACCTTGACAGGGTATGCCGAGGTCAGTCGATCTGCATAGTTCATTTACGGTTAGTCTCCATATTAGTGGGGATAGAACTCCTCCTTGTGGACATCCTAAGCCATCCATTTGGTTGTAGTGCTATCTAAGCCTCTGTATGTGAGTGCTCTTTTGACAAATTCATGTGGCGTGTTGTCAAACGCTCCTTCTATGTCTAAGAAGGCACACACGACTGTTTCTTTGTTTGTTAGTGCATCCTGGATTTCGTCAGTCAGCTGTACCAGGGAAGTTTCTGTAGATCTTCCTGCTCGGTACGCATGCTAGCTGTGGTGGAAGTACACCATCATCAGGCTTTCTATTCTGATGCAATTATCGCCCTCTTGATTGGATGTGAGGCTTATATGTGGTAGTAATTTCTCCTGTATCCGCTGAAGCAGGGCAGGAAATATTGCACCAACACCTGAAGCATTAAACAGTTCAAAAGTGTTCACGGCCCACTTTAACCGATCGCTACTGCAAATGGGTTTGGCCACTACAACGCCCTCTCTCGAGGGCCTGCTTCCTTACTTGTGTGCTTCCAGGAAAGTAAGTTTCGAATAAGAGGCGAGATCTTTCCTCCTTACTCTCCGTGAAGCTTCCATTTGTTTTTTTTTTTAGAGCCATAGCTGTATTCATTTTCCCTTTTGCCAGATCCCCGTGAAGCCTTGCTGCCGCAGGTGTAGAATTAATCTCCTCGCAAAATTTTCTGAAGCTGTTAGGTTTAGCTTTCCTGATTTCTATGATGTTGGTAGTAAGTGGCTTGGTGTAGCTCTGCCAATCTCCGATGTGCTTGGCCCTGCTGCAAAGTTTCCTCACTTCGGATTTTAAGTTGACAGATGACTGTTCCACCAAGGAACGTCCCTACTAGTGATTCATATGCCTCAAGTGTTGCCTCATTCTGTTTTTCTAGATCACTTTTTAATGGGTGTCTGGGTCCCTGTTTAGTCTGAATACGTACTAAATTTTGTTTTAGAGTATTTGTATTTGTTCCAGTCTATGTTGCTCTCTAACCTAAACACAATTATCTTGTGATCAGATAGAGATGATGGTTCACTCGATACTCTCCTGTCATATCTAATACCTCACTTCTCGCCTTTGTTACAAATGTTGGAGTATTCCCAATATTTTGCACAATAAGGTTCTTATTAAAAATATATTGTTGCTCCCCATACGGTGCTGTGCGCGTTGGCGTCGCATTCAAGAAGTAATGGCAGATGTCTTCTCTGGCAGTACTCCACTAGCCTCGATACTTCCGGGGGTGGTACAGGCCCATCTCCGGCGAAGTAACTAGAAGCTATTACTATGTCTTGCCGCCTCATCTCAATTTCGAGGTATGCTCGAATTGTGGCGAGATCCCGCGTCATTAATTCTGAAAGACAAGAATATTTAATACTCCTTACCATAATACATTTTGTGAGTATTTCATCACTACTGTGATAAATTACCTTTATTTCTTTACATGCAAGTCCTCTTACCTGGTTTCCGTTTGGTTCTAAGTGAATATCCTGGAAATCACAGCGGATGCTCTCTTGGCGTGATGATGGATATTCACTAAAAACGGTTTTGAAACAGAGGGTATCGTCCCCACTGATGACGGTGTCTTTTCTACTCCCTTCACCCCTTTCTTTTGTTCCCCCATTTCTCTCTTGTGAGGTTGTCCCACATGAGAGGTTAAGGGAGTTTGATCGCTTCAGATAGCAACTCCGTTCGATTGATTTTGGGGCAGTGTATTACCACTGTTCCTTTTTAAAAATCTAGCTTGTGTCCATATAGTCCCACGAGCAACTAGGGAAGGAGAGGTCGACCGACGCAGAACCCGCAAGGCTAGATACAAGAGGGTGTCGCCTGGCGCCCCCAGGGAAACGTTAGACGAGCGGCTAAATCAAAGTTGCGTTCCACGTTGTCATTGGTCTCCTCTATACGTGTGCGGCGGTATTTTAAAAGTCGTAATACGACGTGTAATGCGCTGTAGTAAAGAATCTCGTCACCTCTCGTGTTACTTATTTCCACATTAAAATTAAACAAAATACATTCAACAGTTATTAAAATCAAAGATTCGTTTTGTATTTGTGGTGTATCACCCTGTTTTATAATATTTCATTTGTAGTTAATGTATCAAGTCAGTTAATGACATGGAATTTAATAAAACGTATGTTATAATAAAACATATAATTTTTAGTACAAACTCCACTAAAAATCTGGTGCCCCCGGACGCTTACACAACGCAATATGCCTGATACGGATCGGATACCTGAAAGTAGAAATACAGCTAGTCTCGTAAGTGTTAAACTTCCAACTTTCTGGGATGAAGACCCACAAATTTGGTTCGCCCACGTGGAAGCTGTTTGAACTAGCACGTATAACTTCTTCTCAGACTAAATATAATTACATAATAGCCGCTATTTCACCACAAACTTTAAAAGTAGTTTCCGACATTATC